GTTGAACGGATGAGAGCAAAACTTAGCTTTGCGCGGAGAATGTTGTGTATCACTGGCCGATTATCTATGTCAGTCCATAACACACAACAAGAGCTTCGGTTGTTGTAGCTTGACTCTGGTCAAGGCTACGAGTAAGATCATGAAGTCGATGATAAGAAGAAATTCGGCAGCTCTTTCACCAACCGGAAAGAGCTCTTTGTTTCGGGGGAAAACAGCAGCAACACCATTACGAGCACACTGTAACCAAATATGAATACTACAGAAAAAAGGTGAGTACGGTGCTGGCCCAATTCGGCACTAGCATGCACCCCGAAGAGAAAATACAGCGTACAACAATACAGTACGCATAGCAGATTTAGGCGCACGATGAGCAAATAAGGAGTTGATTATTCTCGCGATTCGCGACAGAGAAGGCAAAGGGTAGAAGAGAAAAGCTCTCTGGATTTCTCCGAAGTGAGGGAAGCAGTCCTGCGATAGAGGGCAGCTGCAGCCTTGCTGGACTCCTGAACTGAAGCTTGCACCGCCGGTGCTTCCCGCCGGCGCGGCATGCATAATTATGTAAAAAGAATAAACAGAAAAAGAAAAAAAAGAAAAATAATAAGGCACCCATTTTGATAATCCAGGGGATGGCCCACGCCTGGTAAAAAGAATAAAAATAGAAAAGAATCGTGACAAGTACATGACTAGCTAGACCTCTAGACAAAAATACATGTCTGACTTCAGTTCAACAGTCCTGCAAGGAAACACGTGCCTCGGCTACTATGTCGCTTCCAGTTGGCTTTTCGGCGGGTGGCGGGAATGACTCGATGTGCTAAATTGTGCACATTTTCATCCTGGATTGGCACACATTGTGTACAGCATGTGCAAGCGTCGGTTGGATTGGATTGGTTTATTTAACGTCGAATAACAAACAGGCAGTGTTGCCTTATTACATGAGATCGACTAAAGACAAACAGGCACACAAATGTAAGGAAAAGATTAAAAAGAAAAAAAGAAAATAGAAAAAAAGAGTAGGATTTAAGACAGCAGCTAGCTAGCAGAGGAAAGATTGCATAATTATTTGATCAGTGAGCAACGTAAGTCGGTGAATTTTTCAGGTGGGGTAAGAGAGCGGTCCGGAATTGACCTGGTTTCTTCAGTGATCGTATAGATGCAGGCAACTTATTCCAGAGAGCGGTTCAACATCGTATTTCGTTGTATACGCCGAAATCGCTTCACAGGTAGAAAATCGACAGGGGCCAAGGGGGCGAATCAACGGTACTTTACGGCAGTATTATTATACCGGTATTGTACTACTCCCTGCTTCCCGGCGCCGATCTGGCTGGCCCAAGCAGTGAGTGCAACAGTTACTGTTTGTTTGTTTGTTTGTATTTATTTTGATTCGCAAATTCAAACGGGCATAGAACCCAATACTGTAACATGAAAGCAAGAGTCCTCTTGATGAAAGCGAATATGAAAATCATCAACTGAGTGTAAACCTCCTGGTGTAGTGGTAAAGCATGATGAAAAGGAACCGCAGGTCGGTGCTGGACCGTGGGTGCTTCCCTGCTTCCATAATTTCCCACATAACCATAGTAGTATCAGTAGTAGTTCTGTTGCTATTCTCAAGATCAGCAACATTGCACTTGCCATTCTTCACCCCGACTGGTCTGAAGTGGCCGCCTCAAGAGCAGGCGATCCTGTGTACTTCACAAGCGCAGAACTGCTGCGCCGCATGGACTAGCTTCTATGGCAGTGAGCCACTCCGGCTGAAGATCAGGAACCTGAATCATGAACCTCCTGAGCACATGCACTCTCAATCAGGTGCAAGCCAAAGGAGCAAGCCTTGTACACGACTGCTGTTAATTGTTATATTCAACTGGCCCAACTTCCAGCATATTCCGTTTATTCGCAAGCTCTACGGCGAAGCTGTAACTAAGATTGTGTATTATTCAGATGAAGAGAATCGCACTCTTGGAGTCCATCGTGTTGGACTCTCACACGGTGCCTTTCAGCACGTAGCCGTATCGGATGCTATGAGACGCTACCCAGATTTCGATGGCTACCTGTGGATTGCAGATGATATCTTTCTCAATTACCCAGCTGTGTTTTCCCGGAGAAACTTCTTGAATGTGTGGACTTATCCATACGAGCAGCCTGTTCTTTCCGTCAACCCCTCAACTGAAACTAGCAAAGTTCCATACGACCACTGGCATGTGCCTTGGGGAAAGGCGGCTGCAAAGGAGAGTAACCGTTGCGTACCCACCAAGTACAAGGATCGCTTTTCGTCGCGCCTAGCGTGCCGCGGCTGCGTGGTCAAGGGTGGATCTGACATCGGCTATGTACCCCGCCGGCTGGTTCCCGTCTTCATGGAGCTGTCGTACGTATACCGACACGTGTTCTTTGAGATTGCAATACCAACAATGCTGCGTGTGATGGTTGGCAGTGTCAACTCAGACATAGAAACCTTCCAGAACGGCCTGTACATTTGGGGACCTTCCTCTCAGAAGGCGGATAAAGCGCGTCGCCAATGGAAGGTGGAGAACGCCTTTGTTCACTCAACCAAGTATAGCAATCCGGCACAAAAGGCAGATGCTGTGCGGTGGATGGCGGACTCACGCAAGAAGTTCGTGAATGTGCCCGCTACTAGTAGAGTGTGCTCAGTGTCAACAGTGAAAGGCTGATGCTACCGAGTGCACGTATGATTTTAGCATGACTTGTGTTAACAAACTACAAACTACAGCCTCACAATGTAGGCCACGATAATAGAGAGGTTTTGCATTCCGAAATTCGGAATGTTTTTCGGCTGTGCTTTCCGAAAAAAAGTACATGCCGAAAAGCGTCATTTATTTTTTTGGATCGATTCATCTTTTCATACCGTAGAAACCAGAAAACTAATACATGTAAATACCGTATATGCTCTATTATAAGCACAGGTCTCCATTACTAGCACAGTCCCTAACTGTGTCTGTGAGCACCTCTCGAAACATTATAAGCACAGTCTCTATTATTAGCACGGTCTTGGTGGAAATCAATGCTGCATGCATGATATCCAGCATGACATTGTATTTCTTCTTGCTCTGTATGGATATACGTGTATAAACGCGGTCTCCAAAATAAGCACGGGGCAGAGGGGTGTTGAAAAAATATAAGCCCAGCGCTTATAATAGAGAATATACGGTAAAAATCCGGTATGTAGCGCAAAACATGTTCGGTGTTGTAGCATGCTGTTAATACATGTACATGCCGATTGTACCATGTACATGTACCACTAGGAGAATGGCCACTGCTCAGTGCTCTGTCCCGATAAGCGGGATTTGAGGGAGAAGCTTTGGTGAAACATGTCGCACGGATGAACATCTTGTCAGTGACCCAATTTGCGTTCTGTCATGGGCAGTCGACGGAAGATGCTCTTGCCCTGCTATCTGCCAGAGTCACCACTGGGCGAGTTGACGGTTTGTAGTTGTCGCAACCTGCAGCTGCAGAGCCTACTAAAATTATATCGAAATCGGTTAATTAAGCCTTCGATAGAGTCAACCACAGCATTCTTATCCAGGACCTTTTTGACATTGGCATTACTGGTGGAGCACTGACTCCTCAAGCATTACCTGTCCAGTCGGCAACAGCAAGTACTCACCGTATTCCGCAGGGTTACCATGGTTACGGTCCTACGCCCGCTATACCATGTATACAGTACTACTACTACTACTACTACACTACTCTTCAGCATCTACAGACTACACTGACTCTAGTACTAGAGAGGTACTACACACACGTATATTGTAGGCACCGACTGTTACCTCTCCGAATATGTCACTCCAGTTGCAGACGATAGTATTAAACGTTAGCCTTGACTTCCAGACGCCGCAGCGCTGACCTCGTTTCCAGAGCTCCGACGTTGTGGTAAAGTGCGATGGCACGTCCCTGCCAAGCGTCAACACTCAACAGTCAGTGCCCCCTATAGCGCTATCTTGGTATCATCAATCATGGATGTCCGCCTGTCATTGGCAGCGTCAGGCCATGCGAGCATCTCGAAAGCCAACAAGAAACCCTATGGCATGGCGGACACGAAAGTCGAAATTATCGTGTGGGTCCGTTGCGTTCAGCCCAGGCCTTACTCAGGCACAGACCGATCGGCTCCAAGTAGCACAAAACCGTGGGGCAAGAGCAGTGTATGGCCGGCCACGGCTCTCCCATGCCAGGGCTCTCCCATGCCAGTGATCTCCTGGAAGCATAGAGGTGTTCATCTCCTCTTCATTCGCTTCTCTGCAGTGGTGACATTGTCATTAGGCAATTGCCAAATTGCCTGTTCTGGTTTCCACTCTAAATAAATACAAATTGAAATAGAATAGAACTCGGATGGTGAGCCAATGTAATGATGGATCAAAAGGAGAAGGAGAGAAATGGTACGAGTTATAACTAACTGTCCACCAACGTAGCCAGATCACAGTCAAAACAACGTGCATCTTCACTCTAAATCTAATCATCTACCTGACACCTAGCTCCAACACTTCTACGAGGCGCAAACCAACAAACTTCCAACTACTTGGACGGCTCAGGTCAGGAACGGTTCAAGAGGGGAAGGAAAGCGCAACGATTCGTAACGAAGAAGAGCACGAGCTACGTCCCACGGCAACAAAGAATGCCGAAAGTTACAAGTTACTGGATGATGACGGGAAAGACTAGTATTAGGCATACCATGTACCAGTCTCACCACAACTCGATGGCGCAAAGCAACAGACCGTCCAACTTGGAAGCCTGTGGACCAGATAGGGTACCTGGACCTCCTTGCGCAGCTATGATAAAATCATGATCAAGTTGTGATATTTTCCCTTTGCTTCTGAAAGTTAGTTGCGAAATACGTTCTCAATTAGCTGTTTTTGATGGTATTCTGTATTCTGCACGTCTTGTCCCGCCGACACCACACACAAACACACGCTCGCGCGCACGCACACACATTATACAAACACACGTGCGCACACACGAATGCACACACATACACGTGCGCATCCACATTGCAGGAGACAGGAACGTGGCGTGGGCATCGCAGAAGAAACGCAGCCACTCTCTGCACCAAGGGCAGGGTCACACTCACAGACACGCATCGACCCAGCAGCAACAGCAGCAGCAGCACACACAAGCACAACCGATACAACGCCCTGATAGCGGCAACCCTCTTGGACCGGTGAGAATGATGAGATATCCACGTCAATCGGACACCACCACTCCCATTCAGCTGATGGGAGATTCGATACCGGAACTCATCGACGCCAACCGACATGAAAGGTACATGTACATGTAGTTCACACTGTACAAATGTATTGTCCGTCCCTCAGTTTTCTGCAAATACTAAAATAGCCTAGGACTGTCACTGCTGGTACCGTGGCGCCACTGCCACTACAGTACAGTGGCGATTATCATTATAGACTCTCATAGTCTTATCTGGACTCAGGAGTCTACACACTACAATCAAGTGCTAGTGTGCAATGCATATACATATACATGTACAGTCAGACCTCGCTTATCTGGTCCTCCTTTATCCGGATCCATCGCCGTCCAGAAGAAAATACTAGTAACTGGTTGCAGATTTACAGCATTTAATATGTCTTTCTTTTTTTTAATGCATCCAACATAACTGGTGTTCGATTAGCCGGTTCCCTCGCCTATCCGGATATTTTTTTGTGGAAAATGGATGTGTGCGGTTAAACGAGGCCTGACTGTAGTGAGTTGCACACTCAATACAAAGACCATACGTACAACTTCACGCCACCTGCATGGCCACGTATTCCTCTAAAGAGATGGCCTCGAAAACGTTCAAGGAAAATACACGACGCTTAGCACAATACATGTACAGTCGTGACCTACCCTTATAACGATATTTGCGTCAGACCAATAAATATTGTTATAAGGGTAATATTGCTATAAGGGTAACTGGTTCATTTCATACACATACATCATAATGCATGGATTGTGTTCATTTTTTACTACGGCGACTTTTCATAGCATAAAAAACTGACATACATGCACATTATGTACACAGCAAGGTGCCCACTGGCGGCCCCATTGCATTTCGTCATGTCCCAGCGACTTATCAAGTGAAGCTTGCCCTACCTGGATCGTGTGCTCTACATTATTCCCTGCTAGATATAGTTATAAAACGGAAAATGTTGATTGGTCAGCCCATTTTATATCGTTATAGGGTAATATCGTTATAGCAATATTGTTATAGAGGTAAGGCATTGTATACTCGAGTCAATGGAGTGATTTGGTTCGGCAGAAAAATATCGTTTTCACTCACAAAGCGACTGTTCAGTACATGGGGTAGTGGTCTACCAGAGCAATCACACTCACCACCGTGGTGGTTTTCCAGAAATGAGTAGAAGCAAAAAACCACACTCGCAGCCACATAATAGATAAATAGCCGAAAAACATCTAAATCCATCAAAGAACCGCCAGCAAGCGGGAGAAAAGGCCGTGAAATCAAGTGAAACAGCATGGCCAGTGGTGAGCATGGGTGACTGGGCAGCAGGGGAGCGCCTGAAAAACAATGACTCCCTACATTCCTAGCCGCGACCGCTCAACCGGGCTAGAGGAAAAACACGCCTTTCGGCCAAAAAACCTTTCTATTTCATTAATTCCTGCCCCGCTGCCAGTCAGACCCAAGAATAGAGATAGCAAGAAATGGTATGTAATAACCGGTGTATGTCATAATCATAAGCCACACACATAGGCATACATTGTCAAGAAGAACAGCGGACGACTCCCATGAAACCAGGGTGGGTGGGTGGGCAACTTCAACTACCACGAGGAAAAACAAAGACCACGATGGCAGGTTCAACGGAGTTGCGCAGAACAAGAGCAAATGCACGAAAATATTTGTGAGTGAAAAATACGTTTTTTGCACTCTTTCGCTACGCTCAGCCGTGAAAAAACAAAACTTATAAGGGCAATATCGTTATAGAGGTTATCGGGTAGGTCGACTGTATCAGTATTGTAGTAGTCGCAAGCTCCTCTTTGTGGATTGAGCACTTTCGCAACTCAACGGCAACTATGCTTTCTGCATGTGTTTTTAGTATTCTGCTGCCTGGCAACATGACAAAACCAGCTCCCCGGGGAATACCGGTACATTAGAGAGTAGGGCTGAAACAATTATACCGATAACTCGCATATCGATTGTTAAGAGTGCAATCGATAATCGTCAGTGTTCAAAACGAGTGCTAACGATTTTTTTATGCATGCATATCAGTGACAGCATTCTAGCCCTTGCACTCCATCCGGTAGTGAATACGAGTACAGTGGTCCCTCTATAATCCGGCACCATTCGTGCTAGAGAATTCTGCTGGATTAGGGAGGGTGCTGGATTAACAGATTTGATCTACTGTTGCTATGTGCATGAAGAGGACATTTTTGCTAATGAAAATTATGCTGGTGTATAGAGGGTGCTGGTTTATAAAGTGCCGGATTAAAGAGGGACGACTGTACAATCATGTACTTTCAAGCACAATACAATTGATTTGTGGCTTTGAAAGAGATTGGGAGAGAGGGCTTTGGCTTTTTGGTGCATTTCTGGGAGAGGGCGGAGATAAGAGCAGTTGCCACAGGATGATGACAAGATTCAGTTGTCAACAGTGCGGTGCCACAAATCTCTAACATTGCAGAGGTATCATGGAATTTCTTCCTAAACTGGGGTTCGAGGTACACGGGTAGAGCCAACAAGAATCGATAAAACCAATAAATCGATCGTTAATGATATTGGCTGATCGTTAGGAGTTATTGAATGATCGTTTCAGCCCTATTAGAGAGTTAGGATGCACGTTATTTCCGACGTGACGCGCAACTTCACGTCAAATTTGGCGTAAAACTCCTAAGTTCGACGTGAGTTGCAGGTCACTCGCGTTGTTTTTCGACGTGCAAGCCAAATATCGCGAGCTGAACTTCCGCGTCACGTCGACCGCGTCGGAAATAACGTGCATCTTAAAAATTAAAACCTCTATTAACGCTTAAAACCCAATTAACTCGAAACACCCATTTCAGGCCCTCATTGAGTGGTGGTCAACACAGCTGGACATTTCTTAACTCTAAGAAGAACCTGTGCAGTAGGGAGTACTAAAACACCGGTTTTTAAGTACTCCCTGCTGTGCAGCACAAGGCTGGGATGCCACGATGAATCCCCCTGTGTCTGTTTTCCGCACTCGAATAGCACGCAATTCCTGTTTGCACACGTCTCGGATGGGATGAAGGCCGCAGAGCCGCCAGTGGACAAACCGTATATGCTCGGTGTTGCGCAAAGGTAAGTACAAGAGTACCATGTGTAGATACGGCTTGACAGCGCACGTGTTGTCGTTCAGTGTTTGTTGCTGCTGTTGTTGTTGTTGTTGTTGTTGTTGTTGTTGTTGTTGTTGTTGTTGTTGTTGTTGTTGTTGTTGTTGTTGCTGCTGCTGCTGCTGCTGCTGCTGCTGCTGCTGCTGCTGTTGTTGTTGTTGCTGCTGTTGCTGTTGTTGTCGTTTGAAATCTCTATTCTCACGATACCCCAGTGGCCAATAAGAGTTGTTGTCGTCGTTGTCGTCCTCGTCGTTGTCGTCATTGTTGTCCGGAGAGTGCCGGATGTGGTGCGGAGCTTTAAATCATTGTCAGACCTCTCGAATCTGGCCACATCCGTTTGACAGGTTTCCGTTCTGGGCTCATTGAATGCCCGCACAAAATGCAATCGAATTGGACATAGAGCAGGAGGATAACTGGAAAGGACTGGAAAGGATTGCGAAGACAAGATGCAGGCTGCACAACACGGCAGGTGGAGGTGAACATAACGAAGAGATAAATGTATTGACTTTCAAATGTTCCTTACTGAGTTGAGGGGATGGAAAAGGGGAAAGTCCCAAGAATAAAATAATATTGACTTTCAAGTAGCATTGTATATTATGTGTGAGGAGCCAGGTCATCGAATGGCTCAGTACTCTGTCAGTTTTGTGCCTGGTTGTTGCACTTTCTGATTGTATAGACACAGAAGGCACAGCGAAAATGAGGCCGAACATGATAGCAATGAAAAATAAAAGTTCCACCTCCAAAGCCAGAAGTCTAAATACCGTACTGGCAATATATGTTGCCGCGTAACGCGTAACGCAGGGGGGTGCGGCGTAACGCGCGACCAGGCTAGTGCGACAAATTTTCGTTGCGTTCGTAACGCGCGTCCGGCGGGGTGCGTCGATCTTTTCATTGCAGTTTGCAAAAAATGATGCGGCAATAGCAAAAAAGTGATGCGGCAATAGCCAAAAAAGGACTGCGGCAATATAGAAACCTGTGTAACGGCTCCTGTGCGACTTTGCATGTAACGCCCTGCGTGCGGTAAACACGTGCCAATGTAACGCTTCATGGCCTCACTGCGACCATATATATTGCCAGTACGGTATTTGAAAAGTCTATAAAGTCTGCAATTGCTTAGGCGCCGAAGCTCAAGAAAGAACCGGCTGCATGCAACTCCGGCTATGATGAGTTTCTATGAGTAATATCAAGTTCTGTTCTGCCGCTGATCGCATGTGTTCTTGCAGGTCGGAAGCGCTGTTTGTGCGCATGTGGGGAGAGTTGTTCGCCTTTCTGTCCATACCGCTGTTGCTGGTGATGACGTTTATTAGCCACCTGGTGCAGTTCCTGCTGTCCAGGGCAGTGAAGAGGCCCATCATGCTCATACAGGTAACCAGTGACCACTGCCTGAAGCCTCTTCTGGTTGTACTACACAACGCAGTAGTGCAGCCTATCCTGGTCTTCGTCTGCAACATCATAGCAAACAGCGTGCAGATGCTGTGGCCCATTGCGGACTTCACTGCTCATTTTCTGCACTTACTGACGGAGTTGGTGCGCTCGTTTCGCCTTGTCGAGTATCACCGTCACAAAGGCAGTGTGGCCAGCACGCAAGACGCTGTGTAGAAGACCCAACTGAGGAGTAAGCCGGGTGATAATTGTTGCTGCCTTTTTCTATATTTACTAGCTGAGAGAATGGAAAAGGGGGGGGGGGGGGAACGTTTGAAGAAAAAAGTGACTGTCACCTGTCCCCCCCCCCAGGACTTACACCAGGGACCTTCGCTTGAGGCCAGCGACACTCTAACCACTGACCTATGGTATAGCTGTCATCCCAGCAGAGACCGTTCAATATTTTCTTCAGATTTTTGATTGTTTAGTTTTTGATGTGCTTGACTTGAGGTTGCTGGTCCCACGGCAACAAACTCACACACACAATAATTCCTTCTTATGGCGAGTATTGGATGCGTGGCATCGAATGCATGCAGTGCATGTACAGTCAGACCTCGTTTATCCGGATCCCTCGCCATCCGGAAGAAAATAGTTGGTTACAAATGTACAGCATATGCCATGCTTACATACAGTATGTGTGTTCGATTATCCGGTTCCCTCGCCTATCCGGATATTTTTGTGGAAAACGGATGTGTGCGGTTATGCGAGGTCTGACTGTACATGCATGCAAGCCGAGCACTGTACAGTGCAGTATGTACAGCCTGCCCTGTGACTTCACACTACATGCGCATACATAATATATAAAGAAGCCTTGCTTGGTAGTTTAACATGTTTTTCGATTTTGACAGCATGTTACAAGGCGAGGACGCGTAGTGCTCCTGACTACAACCATAACCCGGTTGGCGGAGTCCCGGTCTTGCGACCATTTGAACCGTATTGGGAAAACCTCTTTGGTAGGATGTAGAAAATTTTCCTTTTTGTTGTGTTGTAGATGTCGCCTTGTAACATGCTGTCAAAATCGAAAAACATGTGCATACATGTATGTGCATGCTGGACTGCCAATATTGCACATACCGTAAAGTACCGTTGATCCGCCCCCTCTCCAATTGCCGCCCCCGGTCGACTTTCTGCCAGTGAAGCGACTTCGGCGTATACAACGAAATACGATGTTGAACCGACGCATGCACTGCTTTACACAATACGTGCCAGTGCAGGATGAAAATGTGCACAATCCAGCACATCGAGTCTGATCTTCTACGTTGTTGTACATCGCACTGCACTTGATAACCTTCCCGCTCCCTGCCGAAAATCCAGCTGTGAAGCGACATGGCGTGGGGGGCGGATCAACGGTACTTTACGATACATGTGAACACGTATGAACTTCGAAGTAGCCTTATACTGTTCTAGTTTAATATAGGCGACTCACACACACACACACACACGGGTAAAACCATGGTTCTGGGGGAAAAGAAGAACCTCCCAGGGACAAAAATGGCAAAGCCATGGCCATGGGCCTCGGGGCATTTGTCAAGCGAAAAATCCCACGGCTATACAATGCACGAGCGTAACTCTTGTCTTTGGCGAGAACTCTGAACCCTAGTTGTACGAGTGCATCGCAGCCATGCAGAAAACCGTGCACGGCAACTGCAAAGCATAGCACAGTGTGTACTACGAAATGCAGTACAGATTGTAATTTTTATTTCGCAGCCACAAATTCATGGCCAAACACGCAGCCAAGGGGAAATTGACCCCGGGTGTGAACGGCCATACAATGTACTTGGCTGCCTGACGGTCTGAACTTTACCTTGTCCCGTGACCTCAGGTTTTACCGTGAGTGTGAACCCCCCATATTATGTAGCATGTACATTTTATGTAGCACTATCGTTCGTCATACCTAACACGAATGAGAATATCCAAGCGAATGACTGAGAGGAGGGCATGTGATGTCATCTGTGTTAACAAAAGAATAATCGTTCGTCCGTTCGTTATTAAAAGTCAAAGAGCATTCGGCTACTGGGTTTTGATATTCGTTACACCACTACTTCAGAAGTAGTACAATACCGTGATTTTACAACACACCGGTAATAACAGCACGCACACTGGCGACGTAGGACACACCAACACCGCTCCAGAGACGAGTGTGATTCGTGATAATGACCGGGCATGCCGAGTCGAGAATTCAAAGGGTGACCGCGGACGGGGACACGTTGACAGCGCACATCGGCAGAGCCGTGTGAGTGCTTGCCCATCGCGGTACAGAGCACACTGCAAGGTCAGCCGTCATCAAAGAGAAAGCAAAATAGAGAAACAAATATTGAACGGAACAAAAAAATAATCTGCAATAATATTGATAAAGTGACGAGCCGTTAAATCAAACGGTACAGGTAGTCATGACGCAGCTAGGTGCATGCACCGCCGACGTCTGTGTTGCCACGGTTGCGGACTGATTCCGTCTCCGTCAACTATGGTAGCATGGCAGGTGGAGCTTTGATCGGTGTCATCCTGGGGTCTGACGAGGAGCGGCGCAGCACGCCCTTCTCGTAACGATTCGTCGCCGGCGACATTGCCTCCAGCTTTAGTGCGCGGTCGCGTGTGAGCGGCTCGGACTCCAGCATCAGCTGGTTCTCCTCAGCCAGTGAGCGAAGGTCGAAAAAGTACTTGGCGTAGACACTACACATGACAGGAACAACCAAACCCAACACAGAAGACAAAAATAAATAAATTTCAGACAGGGAGAGGGCACGCGTGTTACACATATTCCAAGAAAAAAAGAAAAAGAGGAGAGGGAGGGGGGGGGGGGGGGGATAATTAGAAGCCATGCTGCGGAAAGCCTCTCAAAAGAGCCAGGCTTCGCACGGGAACATGGTGACACAGGTAATGTTCATACACACACACACGCATATACTGAAAAAAAACATGATAATGTGTTGCACACAAATTCAAGCCAGCCACGTTCACAAACCACAAATAAATACTCATACTTTTTACGAACATGTTGATGACAAAAAAATATTGAAATCAAGCTATCTCTTTTATGGTACTGGAGACTCTGTTCCTCTCCCCCCCCCCCCACACACACACACATATGGATGCATCTCTGTGATAGGCTAGAAATCCACACGTACAGTGTACATATACCGGTACGCGTACACTGCAACACAGAACAATAAGAACAGCTCAGGCTAAATTCTGCCCCTGTACTTTGGCGGGTACTGTAGCGACCCCCCCCCCCCCCCCCCACACACACATGGGCCCTACCTGCTATCCACGTTGATATTAAACTGCAAGAGTTCTAGAAGGTGCCTCTCCAGTTCGTTCATGTCTTCGACGGAGATGTCACGCAGGATCTGGCAGTAGTCCACGTTCCAAACTGCCTGGTCATCCCACACCTACAGGCAGAAAGAAACGTCACACACACAACAAACAACACATCAAACATTTGAAAACCGGCTGGCGGAGACCCTGGTGATTGCCTGCACTGTATGAGCCCAAGTAAGTGGTGCATGTACAGTCAGACCTCGCATAACCGCACACATCCGTTTTCCACAAAAATATCCGGATAGGCGAGGGAACCGGATAATCGAACACACATACTGTATGTAAGCATGGCATATGCTGTACATTTGTAACCAACTATTTTCTTCCGGATGGCGAGGGATCCGGATAAACGAGGACCGGATAAGCGAGGTCTGACTGTACCTAGTTGAGCATCGGCGTATAGCCCACGGAGAGAGAGAGAGAGAGGAGGGGGGGGGGGGGGATTAAAGACAGAACACAGAGCAAGTCACGTAAAAACAACACCATGCACTGCTGCCTCCAACACGTAGCACGTACAGAAGAGCAGAGCTCGTCTCGCAAACCATTCCAAAAAAGAGGTGCGCAATACGGCAGACTGCCAAATACTGCCTGTTTCCTGAGCTTCGTGCCATGCTATCATCAAGTTGGCACAGAGAGCCAGTTGCCCACTTGATCGCTTGCACAGTCCCACCGTGTTGTCATCCGTACACATTTTGTGGACAAAATGAGTAATTTTGGAGTTGGAATTTGGTTCTTTGCAGATGAAAAACTCCAAAGAATTCCCCCTTTTAGGTCGTTAGGTGTGTACTGTATGCACTTCTTTAAATAGATATAAACTGAACACAAACCTGGGCAAAGGGTGGTTTGTATTACTGTATATCACCTTATTTTAGGTGTTGTAAAATTTCAGTAAAAGCCAACCCCTGACCTTTCGGTGTAAGGATAAATTCGGTATACATGCTACCCTCCACCTCCACATACATGTACATAATCGTACTGTACATGACATTCTCGATTTTGTACGTTGATACAAGATAACTCGTGAGCGTGGTATTAAGGAAATTTTAGGTGTAATGTTAAATTAGGTGATCCAGGACCTCTACCGAAGTTACCGAACTTTAAATTACACCGAAATAAACGTGTTATACAGTATATACATACATACTTCATTACTGTGTAACCGGGTACCCGATCTACACAGGTGATGATGCAAATGACATCATCCTCCTCCGTGCTTAGTACAGAATAGCAATACAGCAACTTTACGTGTCACTTATCCAGCACCCTCGGACCCAGGCCCTGTTGGTTACGTGAATATTCCGGAAAACTCAAGCTAAATTATCACAGTCTATCCACACATCAACGAGATTATTCAATGGACTTTCGCCGCACAGACTTGGTGATACACTATGCATGCGTCGGCTGTGTACATACACGTAGTACGAAGTACAGTCCAGTCAGTACACGAGTGCAGTGTACACGCACGGGACTTGCACACCGAAAACTTGAGCTGCTAGCGCGCTGTCGGATAACAGGTATCCGGATGACAGACTAGATGCCGGAGAAGTGACATGCGACTGCACTCCCCTTGTACATGTAACGTTACTTTTATTGCTCTTCCATACAAAACCCAAACGAGAATACCGTGTTTGCCGGAGTATAGTGCGCACTTTCGAAGCGCTATTTCAGGCCTCAAATCGCAGGTGCACACTACGCGCCGAATATGAGAATGCATTCACTTCGAAAGTCGTGCAATGTATCAACAAGTTGCGAAGTTTGCCACCTCTCGAGTCTCCGACCCGGCACAAGCCATGCACGTGTGGTGTCTTCTGCCAGCTACACTGCAAGTGCATGATGGGTACGAGTCCCCATAGGTAGCACGTGCATTACACAAATGTACAATTTTGATAATTTCTTGATAATTTTGTCAATTAAAATAGAAGAAATAACATGGAAACGAGTTATGAAGCAACTATCCACGACTGTAACAAGATAATAAGCAGTCAGAAAGTGCGTTAACAGGGCACAAAAACTGACATGTTACTGTTACATTCAAAGACCTGAGACCTAGCTCTCACACTCCTCCAGTGCGCAAACCAACAGCCTTCCAGCTTGGAAGGTTCAAGGTTATGGTATGGTTCTGTGATTTCTTCTATTTTAATTACTGTAAAGTAAAACATGTAATTTTAGGTGCATTAAAATTTCGGTGCCAGAGACCTGCCAGGTTTCAGGTGTAATGTAGAATTAGGTGACCAGCGTTCCCTTCACTTACAGTGCATACTCTAGTGCCTTTTAGGTGTAATTTAAATTTAGGTGCCTGGCTTCTTTACCGAAATCACCGAAATTAAAGTTACACCGAAAATTACATGTTTTACAGTATACTCAGTAAGATGCCTGCAGCTGCAGAAAAAGTGCTCAACATCCAATTTCTTGGGGGGAGCAATGCCACATGTCAACAAACAAACAAGTGATCCATTGTTTGTTGACATGTGTTTTACAGTATATGTGTTGGCTCAGTATCCGAGTTAAATTTTGTCAATGGTCGCGCTACAGTACTGCCTTTAGAATCCATAATTAATATTCTCAAATCTAGGTTGTGCATTATACTTTGGATACAACTTGAATTGTCAAAGCATTGGTCAAAAAAAGAGGGTGCACATCATGCTCAGGTGCACGTTATACTCTGGCGAATACGGTACTGTCCTTTGCGGTGTGTATAAGCCGCACCCAGATTTGTCACGAGATGCAGGCATCAGAGAGGTTCCGCACTACGTAAAGTTGAGCAACTTTACGTTAGCGGGCGGGAAAAACCCGTGAATTCGCGAGTTTTACGTAATTACATTATGCGGAACCTATCCATCTACTCTGTATTTCACGGTTCATTTGACCATCGTAGCAAACGCCGCGCCGACTTGTTCCGGGCGAATTACGAGTGTATAAAGTGAAGCTTATACGCGGGGAAATACAGTAACGGCATAGCTGCTATAGCCTCGGTCGTACGTCGACCATATAGCACTGATCAGCTCAGTTAATAATACTGCAGGTGCAAGAAAATATTCACTACACCATGAATTATACCAAAACACGTACTGTAGCCCCCGCCCAATTACGTGAGCCAGTTACTCATACCGGTAGTATCTTTCTTCTACTTTCCATTGTTCCTCTTCGACCAAAATTTAGAAAAATCGACGAATGGCTATAAGCGACGACAAGATTACATAACCCCTGAGGCTGTGTTTACACGAGGCGTTCAACCCGGGTCAAGTTTGAACACAGATTGACTGGCGCGTTTACATGACGCATTGCACCAGGCAGCGAGAAACCATACTAACGTACTTCTGTGCGTATCTCGCACCAAGTTTGAATAGCACTGCACGTGCAAATTTCGCACGAAAGGATTCACATGACCATACGGGACTGTAGAAGTGGACTTTCGGCGGCAAATCAGTAATTGACCCAGGTCAACTGTCTTCATGTGAACACCCACCTATTTTTCCATCGTACAGGCTTTCAACCCGGGTTGAACTCGCTCTCGTATCAACGTAGTCCAAGAGTGTGCAGCTCCAGAACTTCACATCACGTGACAAACCCGCACACATTATTTGCACCCTGTGCATGACAGATACAGGGTTGTGCGCAACCCTGCTTTGGGTTCAACTCTCTTGTGGTGACGTTGCACTGTTTGCCAGCGTACCCCTTTGAACCATGTCTCGTGATATGAAGTTCTGCCGTCGCGGCATGATGGAGGTTGTGCAGGCAGTCGCACACTCTTGGGGGTTATGCACTCTTGGCGACGAGGCAGCAACAGTTTCAAAATTGCAAACAAAAGGACGAGCCGAATCGACATGTGAAACGGCTAAGTAATTTTCATGATTGTCCATCACAGTTTTGCTTCTCTACATCATTTCTCACATTTTTCTTAACATTTCTCACATTTTTCTTAATAAAGCCGTTTCACATGTCGATTCAGCTCGTCCTTTTGTTCGCAAGTTTGAAAATGGCTGCCTGTCAACAGTCAAGTGGCTACAGCCATTGGCACAGCAGCACAGCACCCCATCACAAGGGACATGGACATGCCCATGCATGGTTGTTGGTGTGGCACTAATCCAGTACAGTACGATGTCCACTACGCACAATACTAACACAGTTACATTGTACATGACATACCGGTAGTTTGTACTAACAAAAATAGACACAAGCCAGTTTTAAATGTTTTTACTCACTTTGGACGCCAGTAGCACCGATCCCAAGACAATCCACTTCCAATTACTGGGATGAAGATCAATTTCAGCATAATGAAGGAGGCGCTCCAGGTACACTAACGTAATGATGGCACACTCCGCAGTAAGTTTGGCCGCTGAGAATAGAACTTTCAGGAATTTGTAAATGTGACGTTGCTCCGGAATTGCCCTATCGTAATCACCAGGAACTGGGTCGTTCGTCAGCGGGTGAAGTTTCTCGTCAAAGATATCGAGCAGCCGAGGAGGATTGCTTGGGTCTGCTTCTTCCTCGTTTGGTATGTGTAAATGCGTGGCAATCGCGACACACTGCAGAGTCACCTTCAAATTGGGCTGAGAAACAGTACTGTCTCCGAGAAATATCGTTCCACACGAACTAAACCGTTTACTGGCTACTAAACTGGTAGGAGCATTTTCATGAATACTCGGAGACTGTGAAAACCGTATCCCAGAAGCAGGATTACCAGCAAGCGGCTCCCTTGCAGAAGCACCAGGAAATTTTATAGGAGTAGTTGCAGCAACAACTGACGATTTCCGCCGCTCTTTTCTAGCACTGAACAGCGTTCCTACATGGCTCGTCAAGTCTTCGCGATCACTTATGTGCTGAAGACAGGGCTTGCTTTGAGGTGCCTCCTGGGATTCCAGCTCCAAATCAGATGCCGAACTGCCTTGCATATCCTCCCTGGACGAAGCGTCTAGGTCCTGCCGGCTTGCACAGCACACATTTCCCATGCTCTGTGTCAAACTTGACTCCGCCGGGCCGCGCAGGACGCGCGTGTCTTCCTGTAGAGCAGCCAACTTTCTGCTCTGCAGGACCAGTTACAGCAGAAAAAACATTGATAGCCCTAGAGAGAAAGCATTGTGGAGTCCGAGGTTTCTTGCACAAACTGACAAGAACAACTAGGCTGCATTGACATTTTGACAAGTCAAGAATTCTAGATTTCTTTCCTTGGTTGCTCTGACTAGCTCGCCTGCAGCGACGGCTCAGAATGCAAGTGGACACCGCCTGGGAAACGACAGCAACAACGAAAAAAGCCACTCTATGCACAGGACGTAGGACTAGATTACCAGGAGCTAGCACATGCCCCGGCTAGCTAAGCTAGCTGTCCTGTCCGTGCAGTTCATACACAAACAGTGGTCGACCGGTCATCATGGTCATGACCCCAGCAAACTCCTGTCACTTTTCTGAGTTTTCTACATAAAACAGATCCACAAGATCAGCGTACAGCTCAAAGTCCAGGTACTAGGTACGTTTCGTACCAGTGGCATGGCATGGCAGTACTCACCTCCCGCTCCCGGATCCCCCGGTATCGCGACTCGTACTCCCGGGCCCCCGGGTACGGCCCTACGGGTACGGGTGCACGTGCACCCGGCCAGTGGAAAAAAGAAGAAGAAAAGGAGCGCGCTACATAAAACGGGCGCACTTGCCGCGACTCTGTGACCAGTGGTGACAAGGCCGTGAATATTACTAGTCCAAGTCCAAGTGTACATGTAGGCATAGGATGAAGAGTAACTGCTGATTTATGAAGTAATACAGTGGTCCCTCTATAATCCGGCACCATTTGTGCCACGAAAATCTGCTGGATTAGGGAGGGTGCTGGATTAACAAATCTGATCTACTGCTGCAATTATGTGCATGAAGAGGACATTTGGCTACTGAAAATTGTGCCGGTTTATCGAGGGTGCTGGATTATAAAGTGCCGGATTAGAGAGGGACGACTGTACTAATAGTTTGCGCTCGTGGTGGGGGCAACGCTGTGTGAAGTATTGTGTGAAGTAAATAATAACAAGAGTACATGAAAACCAGAGTGTGCAGCTCGGATGGGTTGCTGTCACGGGCCTCACGGCGAAATTCCGTGATTATTTTAGTGATGTAGTGCGTACAATTACAAGCAGGATTCAAGCAGGTCTCTTTCTGCACAACTGCAGCTCAGTTGTACGCACTACGCCATTTCCCGCCTCGGATCTGGGCCAAATATGATTTAATCACGGAATTTCGCCGTGACAGACACCCCATAGCAGAAAAGGCCCCAAGTAGTCCATCAGCCAAGAACTCAGAAGTCGTCAAATTCAAGCACCCTGTTGCACTTAGAAATCGAATACTTGATTTTGGCCTCAATGGGGAGTTTAGGTACCCTGTACTAAAGTAAAGCTGCACACTCTGGTTTTCATGTACTCTTGATAATAATTGTCACCATGCTAGTGACCATGGTGACGTACATGTTCCTGCACGAGTACGAGGGCAGTACCGCGGAATCCAGCCCGCGCCGCGATAGCGGCAAGGGCTGGATGAACAGCGGTACTGGCGCATGGCCGAGTATGAGTGACTGGGAGGTATATTATGGCACCGCAGGCCGCGCACCTGAGGGCCTTTCTGGAAGCCTTACTCGATCGGATAGAGCGAAACTGAGCACCCTGGGATGCGAGCAGTTTTTAGTACTCCCGGGTCCAAAATCTCACCACCAGGCCGGGCTGATCAAAACGTCTGCCGGGTCTGCAGCCTACAAACGTGGATCTGCCGACACTGTGCTGTCGACGACATGTCCCGCAAGGCATCTTGCGTGAAAGCAAGGAACGCTTTTTTTTAGAAAGGAAGCTTCTTCCCCAAAATTTAAAAAATTTGAAAATTATTCCTTCTGAAAATATCATCGCGCTCTTGACCTCGAAGCTGACGGCTGAATGCGATTAGGAAAGAAGATTCCTGAAGATGCACCAGACTGATTCTGGCAAGCCGTCTGTCGTCTGGATATGCACTGTTGTTCGTTATGGTCAGCAATCTTCTTCGTTCGTCCTTTCGTTTTCCTGACCACGATGATGACAAGCAGCTCTCATGCTCAGGTTAGTGCTACTTGTATGTCTGGGCACACAACACATCTGAGATGCACCCACTGACGTTATCGAACTGAAGAATGCAGCAAGGGTTCCTCGGATTCTCTTGATTTCGGAACAAATTTCCTTCACTTTCACCCTCTCAGTCTCTTCCCCATGCCCTCCATGCATACACAATGGAGCTTGCATTTCAAATGTTGTTTTATACTTTGGCAGTGCCTCTGCTACACTTTCATATAGAGTGAGGTCCTGTAAATAGGATCCAACATTGTTGGTGGTGGTGTGTGTGGGGGGGGGGGGGGGGGGGGGGGAGGTATGTTTGCAGCCAGGATGTAGGAATGACACTTCTGCGCAGCAGGTGGCAATAGTCAGAACTGGTCACTCTACAAATCCCATACCTGCCGACCTTTGCAAACCTGAAATGGAATGACATACCTAGGCATGAAAATGTATACAAATATACCTCGCGGTGAGGCATGGAACTAATGCTCTTTTGGGTGCCTATTACCGCCCTCGATGTCGGGATGGTTGTCAGGTATGAAATCCCAACCGAGAAAACCATTTAATTAGAAGATAAACTCGGCTGGAACGCCGCTTTTCTGGAAATAGAAATTTGTTGTGCCACTTTCGGCTAGTCCTTTTTGCAGAAGTGATTCAGTGCCTCCGCAATGCTGTATGAGGGCCAGGACATAGCAACTTTCTGTATGCCGGGGGGGGGGGGGGGGTCATCGTCCGCAACATTGGTAGAGTTACGGTTACATTGTATATGTAGATACGTGATTTTTGGACTCGCCTCCAGGGATTTGTCTTAAGCTGGGGCACGCGTACGTGAAGCAAGTGGCAAGAAAGGCCCAGTTCGTACAAGGGAGTAGTAAAATACCGGTATTTTTCTGTTCCTATGTTCCCATGACGAGTCCTCTGTGCACTGAGTGCAGGTCTCTTGCCGCTCCCTGGTCCCCGGTTCACGTGATCGTGACGTTTATCGAATAAGGTCTATATGCGGGCATGCATAAATCAACCCCTCCACAAGGACGGCTCAAACAGGCAGCCAAGGAGTGAAAATTTCGCTCCTGGGGCTAGGGGTGAAACGAAGGCCTCAATTTGCCAAATGAACCTTCTCCATCGAAACGAACGAAGGTGTCGAATAATTCTTTTACCAGTTCACAGTTCCTGTTCACACGCACTCCCGGGGGGGGGGGGGGGGGGGGGGGGGCTACTATGCGCTTGTAGTGACACTTACCGTAAGCCAAGTTGCACCTATGGAAGCCAAGTGGAACACGACTAGTTGACTGAACAGACTACAGTACAGTATACATGCACATGTATACAGTGAAGATCAGTGCATGGATGCCTGCCGTAATCGTATGTTGACCTTCGTTCGAATTGAAAAGAGAGGGTCGTTTCGAAAAAGAAAAAAAGCTCAATGGAAGTATGATGCTGCTGACAATTCAAGACTCACTGAAGTCGCCTTTCTGGAATGGATCATGCGCTCTAGGTTCATCCGATTGGAAATGGACTCAATCATTGTTACACCATTCTTGTTTGGTTAGTTATTCTACATCCCATAGCATGTACAATCCAACTTGTGAATAATGCCTCGGGTTTACAAAACAACTCGCAAATAACAATCTTCAGATCTAGTGACCATTTGATTGCATACTTCCAACCTCACGAGTAACAACGATACACCAATAGCGACACTTTTTTCATTCACAATCGAGGGTCAGTATTCCCCAGGTTGACTGCAATTGCCAATCAAACAGGAGGGGCGAAAGTCGACCACGGCTGAAAAGGCGTAAAGAAAATGTATGTCATGAGCTAGATGGCAGGAGGAAGTAGGTTTTCTGAGAAAGCAAGAAACAGAGGTGAATGAAGCACCAGGTCTGTCCATGCAGTGGATAGAATTATTGGATTGAAAGACAGGCTCTTTACGTCAGCTTGCTACTATTATACCTACATTTATTATTATTATTATGACGGATAACCCAAAGGCAATGGTTTGCTTTCTGCCTTTTTCATGCAGGATTCTGAAAGCTGGAGCAGCTCTGCTTACCTCGACCACTGAACTTACAACTAACTTCCAACCAAGTTCAAGGCAGTATTATGATGAATCAAGCACGCTTGCCATCATTTCATCATTGCAAAGTACATCGACAATATAGATTTGGTGCTGACTATGTATGATGCAGAGTGTGCTCTATGTATCTATACTACTGATTGGCCTACATTATACTTATGTGGGCTGAGAGTAATCGATTGTGCTGTATGGCAGTTTACTTGCATGTCATAGATGTTCACATTGCACACAGCTACTGAATTGCTTTCTGTTGCACTGGCCTACTGCGGCCCACTGCAAATAGATTGTAGTGGCATGGGCCATGCCATCATTATAGTGGTATACCGGTACTACACCAACAGTTTCACTGGTACACTGTACTTACTGGTGGATCTACATCATGCACAGCCTTGTCACTGCTTTTCTCACTTTTTATTAATTTACTGTACTGTACACATTTTGGCACAGCTCTTCCACAAAGAGTTACTAGTATTTTCTTCTGCATACCTACTGTATACAGTGATCTGACTGGTAACATCTATGGCTGTGAAATCACAAATTTATGGGTTGACCGCCTCAAACCTATACGATTTGTTTCTAAGAACGTGCTATAAGAAGTATTCTATTAAAGTATTCTACTGGAGCTCGCAGGACATAGAGTGAGTTTGGAGCACCACTCACTCTTCTGTGATTTGGATGTCAAATTATGAAATTCAGTTTGTGAGGTAAACCCATGCATGGCATTCACTGCTATAGTATGACTCGGGGTAAAGTGTTCCAACGCATACTCATTATAGTGAATAGTTGTGTGTCAGTTAATCGGTGCCCAACGTTGTTGCTGCTGGATAAATAAATATTCTGAGATAACTGAAGCTACACAGCCATCTAATGTTCAAACATGCATGCATCGAAGGGGCCGTAACGAGATCTGCAAGGCATGATTCTATACCTATATTCGATGCTCTCTAGCAGGACATTCATCTGCCTCATTTTCTCTGTGCTGTGTTGATGAGCGAAACAGCATGCTGTCCGCAGATTGAGTATTGTGTATAGACAGACGTGTATGTAGTGGTAAAGCTCAAATACATGTACCACATAACAATCAATAACAATCCCCGTGTTTTACAACAGCACAAACCCAGCACAGCAATTCATAATTTTGTGCTGTGATGTTCTTAGTATTCCAGGCTGGATGTTCTAGGCTTCCACGCTCTTGGGCGCACGACTTTACTGTGCCGAAGAATATTTTCAGCCAATGAACCCAGTGCTTGGTGGCAGATGAGTGTCATGGAACAGCATTTTGCATGTGGCTTTCACTACATGCACATGTACAACGTTCAATTGATTCGGAAAAATCAGACGAGGACTTTTGCAGTTATGAGCAAGGTCCCCACGAATGGTCATGTCACTTCACAGAATACATGAACTGATAGAGTAGACCTCGGTCCCCTCAGAGAATGCTTGGGGAAGTCGGTTTCAACTGAGGACATGTCCAAAACCATGCTAAGTACTTGAGCTGCTCATGAACCCCACAATTATCAGGCTCGCCAGAACCGGTCTGGTTGGTCAGGTTACCACCGGACCAACTTGTTGGCCACCAACAAATGTTTCCTGCTGTGGAGGACGTGTGTGCCCGCCAGATCACACACAAAGTATAAAAGGCCATGAAACTACCGGACCAATCAAAAACTGCTTCCGGCGGTACTGATTATAGTACAGGTTTAAAAAGCGGCTCCATTTTTGTCATACATCAAACCAACTCTGTCATTGCTATGCTACTCAAAAAGAGTAGTGATGTTTATTCACAAATGAATCACAATGCTATCAGAGAAATTCGATATTCTCCAATTTTAGGGGCACTGCAGTACTATGCAAAAATTAATGCTGCTTGGTCATTGTTATGAAGCAGTCACTTCAGTACAGCAATTAAACAGGCTGATTATGTGAACGAGATTCACGGCAAATCTTCTTCCATCAGTGCTGTTTAGTCTTGAGTGGTCCACTGAGGCAGGAAAACAACCTGTTCGGTCCTTCCATACGAGAAACAGAAATAGCATGTTCCAGGGTGGAGGTGGCGAGTATCGGCAATGTAATGCACCTTTAGGCCAACACGACCATCATTCCGACATGGATTCTCAAACACCTTCGCTCGTGAGAGTGCCTCAGAGTGGTATTCATCAACAGATGGCAATCCTGTAAAACACATGAAAAGACATAGCAGCAACACAAAGAAACCTAATGTTATAGAAACGAATTCGAAAAACAAAGTCTACTGAACCAAGGTACAACCACACTCCAGGAGGCAAGCAAAAGTGCATATAATCCGAAGGTTGCGATGCCTGTATGTATTGTATTTATGTATTTATGGATTCTCCACAGGCCTTAGCCTAAATCGAGGGAGTCTCTGTCATGCCACACTGGATACAACATGCTACCAGAATCACTTTCCCCAGTATTGATGATCTTTTCTTAGGGTGTTATATAAAACACATCTGTAGCCACTTCATCTTGCTCACGAAATCATACACCACCACACAAACGGGCCCTTCGGCTATTATACTTTGGGTGGTGATGTATGATATTTATAATCTATTGATACTAGGGCTGAAACGATTATATCGGTTATCCGTCTAATCGATCATTACAAGGAAACGATTTCGATTACGCTGTCTGTTTCGATTACGCGATTATAAAAAAAAGAAACGTCTGCAAGAATCAAAAGATGTCATGTACAGCACTACTAGATACTATACTTTGTCCTTTTCCTCGTTTCTTTTTGTTGTCCATGTTTTCCAGTAGGGGTGTGAAAAAATAAAAAAATAAAAAACTGACTGTCTGCACCTGCACGTGATGTGCTACTGCATTGTGTAGAGTACCCGGTTTATCTGCATGTGTGTATGTACATGTATATGTGTATATGTCAACACGGCATGCTTTGTGCTGGTCTGGCGAGACAATTTCTGGGACACAGTAATCGATATCATAATCGATAATCGAATCGATGCAAGGGTAGGTTAACCGATAGTTGAAAAGTGTAATCGTTTCACCCTTACTTGATACCATATCCAAGTCTGACTCTCACCGTGAGATCCTGGCAACAATATTACCTGGTACATGACATATTCAGACACTGACATAAGCATCTTTTTGGAACAACACGTGTGCCTATCTGCTAGAGTAATGTGACACACATGCAGAATCAGTCATAGCTAATTTTACCCCCTCGCTGTTGTATGCGCAGACTCCACTTCGCGGTGTCAAGTACTCTTCTTTCGGTGGGCTACTCCACTCAGGCGTTTGTCTTAAAGGATTCACATTCATCCTGCAAACCTACACGACTTGCATAGTTTTCACTGTCGGCCGAAGTGCGTGCATTGCACACATTAAGATTGACTCCCTCCGTACAGGCCAGTACAGAGCTGCCCACCAATTGAGTCTGTTTTGCGTACTCAGACTTCTGATTTTCCGTATCTTGCAGTGTGTTGCGTACTGGCGTGTACATTGCATGCATACTTGCACTACAAAGTTTTTTGACACGCACATGCATGTCGGTGGCTGCATTTGGTAGTGTAAAACATGTGTGACTTGCACTCACTACATTATTTTTTTGTGCTACATGTACATGTTGTCGTGGTACGGCATGCACTCGCTTTGGTACAAGACTATTCATCGCTCAGCTTACACTTGCAATGCTTCTACACAGCTGGTTGATCCTCTTCGATTTTCTATACCATTTACTCAAATTCTGTAGTGCGGACAAGGAGTGATTTTCCGTACAAATACAGAAAAATATGGAGGGCTGGTACTTGGTAGCACTGCTAGTATGGTAGTGCCAGGCTAAGCTAGCTGGAAGATCAAATACTTTTTTGGTTCTTTCAGTCATTTTCACGACCTATATTTTCTTTATCATGATCCCCGGGGTGTGACGTTCTTACGAATTCAGAAACTAAGTCTTTCTAACCGAGTCTCACGTGCACTGTGAATTGGTTCTTCTTTTATTCACACTGCCATGTATCGATTCATCGCTTCTTCCCACGCGAGATCCTGTGCAACAGCGATTTAAAGATTGGCTTTATCAAATAGTGATCAGAGAGAGAGGATCAGTTGTGGCTGCTGTGACAGCTGCATAGAGTGTAGATTGGTGCAAACATCATTGCCCAGCAGAACCGTATTCATAGGGACCTGCGTTTAGCATTTGGAAGCTATTTTTTAGAATTTTTACAGGCCCAATAAGCCTGAAGAGAAGAACACCTAACTTAGACTGTCCTAACGTTATCGAACGCACTGCCAAAGTAAAAACAACATTTGAAATGCAAACTCGATTGTGCATGCATGGAGGGCATGGGGAAGAGACGGAGAGGGTGAAAGTGAAGGAAATTTGTTCCGAAATCAAGAGAATCCGAGGAACCCTTGCTGCATTCTTCAGTTCGATAACGTCAGTGGGTGCATCTCAGATGTGTTGTGTGCCCAGACATACAAGTAGCACTAACCTGAGCACGAGAGCTGCTTGTCATCATCGTGGTCAGGAAAACGAAAGGACGAACGAAGAAGATTGCTGACCATGACGAACAACAGTGCATATCCAGACGACAGACGGCTTGCCAGAATCAGTCTGGTGCATCTTCAGGAATCTTCTTTCTTAATCGCATTCAGCAGTCAGCTTCGAGGTCAAGAACGCGATGATATTTTCAGAAGGAATAATTTTCAAAATTGTTTTAAATTTTGGAGAAGAAGCTTCCTTTCTAAAAAAAAGCGTTCCTTGCTTTCACGCAAGGACCCCTTGCCGGACATGTCGTCGACAGCACAGTGTCGGCAGATCCACGTTTGTAGGCTGCAGACCCGGCAGACGTTTTGATCAGCCCGGCCTGGTGGTGAGATTTTGGACCCGGGGGTACTAAAAACTGCTCGCATCCCAGGGTGCTCAGTTTCGCTCTATCCGATCGAGTAAGGCTTCCAGAAAGGCCCTCAGGTGCGCGGCCTGCGGTGCCATAATATACCTCTGACTGGAACGTGTTTCCCGTGTACCCAAGCCAAATAAAGAGATGCATGACAGACACACCTGCATCGTGTTTTGTGATTGTTTTCTGGTACAGTTTTTTTTAGTAGTCCATAGTGCTTTTTTTCTCGCGGTGCCATTGACATTGTCGACTGGGCATCGGGCATTCTGGCTGTTCTGTTCCAACGGATTTTTCCCACGTCTTGATCGGAAACCTCGGCAAATTGCGCGGATCCTGCAGGTTGCTGAGCATTGCGCGCTTTGGTTGAGGCTCATCCGGCTCGTCCAAGATCTCCTTCGCGAGCGACTCCGCAATAAAAGTTTCAGTCTCTTCCTCAACTTTTCGGAGGAGCTCATTCGCATCGCCAATATCGTTCAACAAAGGGGCTTCTTTCTCCCAGTTCCAGATCAAATGTTGGAGCGCCATGATGACATTTGTGGTTGCAAACAGTCGCTCTTCTGCTTTAGTTATTTTATTAGTAACCAATGAAAGACCTTGAACTTTTTGTTGAAGTAGAGTCAGTGCAGTGGCTAGTACTGGCACTGACGGGCAGTTGAATCCGTTCCTGCCCGTCGTCAAGTGACGACGGGCAGTGGAATCCGTTCCTGCCCGTCGTCACTTGACGACGGGCAGTGGATCCAGTTCCATCACCTTTGGCTTTGAGCAGGCAGGACCGCGCTTTCCAGCCCGCGCTGTATGATCTGTCATTGGTCAACTCCAAGGCGACAATCACGTGACATACGGGAAAGAACCTTTGCACACGCCACACGGACGTACAGCACTATCAAGAGTACATGAAAATGTACTCTTGGCACTATGCACTAATACTATGCTGTCCGGTCCGTGTGCTACCACTAGGGGCGCATTTGGTTGGTACGAACTAGAACAGGATTCACCAGAACAGCGCGTTTGGTTGGGACTGCACCTGTTCTGGGTCGGCCAGAACATGTTCTGCTTGCTCCGGCCTCGAGGCCGGAGCAGACCGAGCAGTTTCACTTTTTCACAGTGAAACCTGGCGGGAACATCGATTTTGTTCCCAAATGATCACGTGCATACGCTTTTGGGTTGGACTCGTCGTACCGTACAAAGTGACCATGGTGATCCATACACATTTTGAAGAATGCACCAAGTTTAGCACATTTTCCACAAAAATGTGCTCTGTTTCTGGAGTAGCGTTTGGTTGGCTGCTCGGTGTGCACCAGCTGCTCGATCCTGTTCTAGATCGTACCAACCAAACGCACCCTAAGTCTGTGGTAGCTATATGCTATAAATTATATAGTATAATCTGTCCCTCCAGGAAATCGCGATTCCACGGATGCAACAAATTTCGCGATTTTGGCCAAAACCCGCAAATTTCTGAAAAGTCCCCGATTTCCCGCGTTTTTGTTGTTTTCTGCACTTCTTTTTACATTTTTCTGCACTTTTCACGCAGTATACAGTGCTTTCTTCTATGATTCTGTACGTGGGTTATTTGCACAGTACGCAAATAGCGATTCTAATGATGCAACAAATTTCGTGATTTGGCCCAAATCCGCAATTTCCTGCCAATAATTCCGCGAGTTCCTGGCAAGTTCCGCCGCATTTTTTGTTGTTTTCTGCCGCAATTTCTTGCGCAAGTTTTCGATGACTTTCTCCGCAAATTTCCGCAGGGCCAGGCACTTGCTATCATCAGATCATAATAATAATTTATTTATGTCTACATGATGTAGATCTAGACTCCGTCAGTTCGTGCACGAATTCCACCCCCATGGCCCAGTGCAGTACCGGTAACTGTTCTCCACTGAAATAATTTGGGCCCCTCGACGGCAGCGCCATGGACCGTACATACGCAATGGGTCTACACACCTACAGATAGTTTATAGACCACATTGCAGTTGACGTCATTGTGCCCAGGCAAACGCAGCACAGCAACCAACAAAAAATGAAATCGAACCTACATCATTATCGCCAGTGCATTACAATAATCATATCACATATAATGTGCATGCGTATGCGCACCCCCCCCCCCCCCCACACACACACAAACAAACAGTCGTGGCTACAACAGCTTTGTATTTACACGTAATTAGTCAGCAACACAGTGACTACAGTGAATGCACCCGATGCAACACGGCTTGTCTACCACTAGGCACTACGGATGTACAGTGATAATAGAGATCGGAAGCTAACTTAGAAAATAGAGAAATCAATGAGACTAGCAGAGTCAGAGTTTCAACAGCAAGAAAACAGAGTAGACAGCCAGGCAGGCAGGCCGCGGCAAACAGACAACTCAACAGAGACAGACAGATAGACAGACGGGGAAAGAAGAGGGGAGAAATGATGACCCGAAAGAATGACGGTGGCCAGATCTCACAATGCACACGTCGCATTCTGGGTCTCAATGTGCCGATGGACTTAGAAGTAGCGTTTCTCGTACCTGTAGCACACAACAGTCCAGAGAGAAGAGATTCAACAAAGAGTACTCAGGAACGCCTCGATTGATCCGGTAGTATCATGGCCTTTGATACGTTGTGTGTGGTATGGCGGGCACACACGCCCTCCACAGTAGGAAACAAGTGTTGGTGGCCGGAAAGTAATAGTTGGTCCGGTGATAACCTGACCAACCGTAGCTGTTCCGGCGGGCCTGGTGCTAGTGCCACAAAATAGCCAAAAAGGCAGTGCAGTGGGTAGCATGTTTACACCTGTTGTTCTTGCTATTCAACAAAACACTTCCCGCTGGTTCTCCCACAGGGGGGGGGGGGGGGGGGGGAGGGGGGGGGGGCAGGGATAAGATCAAGGCCTCAAAGTGCAGTTTAATATACAATAACATGAAAGATTGGCCTTGGCAAGCGGGATTGTGCACATTTCCACTCGCAGACATACCTACACTGGCATGTATTGCCTACAGCCGTGCATGCATCGGTTCAACACCGCACTTCAACATAAATGTGCATGATTACGCTGCTTCACAGGTAAACACTTCGAAAGGAGGCAGGAATTAGAGAGAGGGAGCGGATCAGCAGTACTTCACGGTACTACAAACCCAAGTTATGCCAAGTGCTGACATTAAAGTCTGCACTTCACTAATTGCTGCATTAGGCATCGCTTGCTACCTTTCGTAGTTTGAGCACTCTGGGCGCTAGAGCAACGAGTTGTCTTAATATCTGCGGTGCAACCTTTGCACCATGGCTGGCAACTTGGCCTACGTAAAGCTTGTAGCTGTACAGATGTGGGCTTTATGGCTGAAACAGCTGTCTACAGCATCGGGTACTTCACTAATCCTTCTGCACGTTGGTGTTCGTTATACCAGGAGTCGACTGTTAATCCTACAAAGGCTGCGCCCATGATGCATCAGTTTCCTAATCAGGAATATGAGCAAACAAGCCTACGCCCATAAGCAAACAAATGCGAGGAGTTCAGTGTAGACAGTGTACAGTGGTCACTGCAAAAGGGGAGCACGACTTACGAGTGTAGGCCGTGGACGCCACCTTCGGACTTTGCCGAGGAGCTTCGGATCTGGAAGCGCAAATCTCCGTTGTACATCATAGTCCTGTGCAGAAGTAACATAACCACACACAGACAACGGCACACTTTTTTTTGCCAGAAATTGATTTATTTTAGTTTTCATCGTGAATTTTCGTCTTTGGTGAGCACAAACGGCAAAAAAGCGTTTGCACTGAACGCTGGGGAGGGGGGCTTTGTCCCATAATTAGCAGGTGCAGGAGATTGAAATGCGATCTGAGAAGCCATGGCGTCCGGGTATTTTAAATACTTTTTTAGATGTTTCTGTTGCGCCGAGTATGCATGCATGTGGCAGAGCAAGGGCCCTTTTCGAGGTTTGCGAGGGGGGTTCAAATCCTGGTTTAGAAATTAGAAGCACAGCAGAAGTCCGCATGGACCACGTGCAGGTTTACACATTATGTTTTGAAATGCACTATATCATCTATCCAACACACAGGACAACAACTCCACAGCTCAGTGCCTTATATTTGTGCAACTCGGAATGTAGCGTGCACCGCACACAGGCACACACAGACACACATGCACCCACCCACCCACACACGGAACGTCGGCATGGGAATTCGCACATTGCCGTTTCGATGCTCCCTTCGCTCTCAACGAGAGAACGAACATTCCAGGATCCGACGCGGATCAGGCAGCGTCTCCTCCTCTCTCTCCGTGCTTGGGCAGATTTTTTGAAGCGCTTGATGGTCTCTGTCCACTCGGGGGTTTGACAATCCGCCGCGAGTGGGAGATTCAGGCGCAACAAGAAGTGGTGCCATCATTCGACACCCCGTCTTCTTGTTGCGCTGGCCCTGAATCCCTTGCGCTGAGAATTACATGTCCTGGGACGGACCTGGTGGACCAGAGCCGCCCCAGAAGACTCTTTAAACTAACTACTTTCGACAACCAGAGAGAGCTCGGAAAATTCAAACCGTCCCCAGAGGGAACAAAAACACACACACACACACGCATACATGCAATCAGTATCCCTGATGGACTGCCACCTTTGTTAGATCAATTACCTGAGCCCATCCAGACTCTTGGCACCGACATCTTGGCAACCTTGCTTGAGACCTGCCATTACAAATTACAACACATACCATAGAAAACCGTACACACACCATGTACCAAACACACACACACACACACACACACACACACACACACACACACACACACACCTCAGACCTCAGACATGCCCATCGCGGAAGCGATGATAGCGAACAGCTATGTTAGACATAGCAACTTGTGCTGGGATTACACCATTCAACAGCTTGCAAGGCTGATGAATTGACCGCCACTATTTTTAGCCTGGTATCCACCACACAGCTGTTTGAAGTGACTTTTTCTGGCCAGTGAATCCCTATTTTTCATTTTTCATTTTTTTTACGCACACACACCACACCACATACTCCGGCATACACTGGCTGTTGGTAACCACCCAGGAGAATGAAAGAAAAGTCAGGAAGAGTCCGAGAAAGAGAAGAAAGACATGTGCGACCATAATCGTCGGGAACTGAACCCGCAACCTCTCGATTGGAAATCGACTGCACATACCACTGCACCATATGGGACACACACACACACACACACACACACACACACACACACACACACACACACACACACACACACACACACACACACACACACACACACACACACACACACACACACACACACCAGTCAGCCAAGTTGAAATTACAAAAGAACAGTAAGTCAAGTCCTAGTCTCCCACCTTCTACCTTTGAGAGATGTACTCTTCAGTGCTAACAGGTTTGGCCTTGTTTCTCTGTGCTGCACTGATGAGTCAACGCAGGATGAAACAACATGGTCTGCAGATTGTCTACGCATATGCTACGATCCAAGTCTTTCCACGCATGCACACACGCATGCACACAAACATGCACACACGCATGCACACAAGCACATACACCCCCTCCCCCCCCCCCCCCCCACACACACACGTGCGCGCACACACACATACACAAACACATCCCCCCACACTACTAGGGCCTGGCATGGAGAGAATTGCATGCAGCACAGCTCTCCACAAAGCACACACACTAGAGACGAAGATGACGACGACGATCACTGACCTTGGCAAAGGTAGGGACATAGCTGAAGAACCGAGCCACGGTCTTGTACGGCACCAGACACACCCTGGGCAACCTTGATCTGCTGCTCCTCACTGGTACAGGACAACAAGGGGAAATGCAGAACAAGAAAAACCCCGCAGCAACATGCACATACGAAAACACATACATGCACATGCACACACACACACACACACACACACACACACACACACACACACACACACACACACACACACACACACACACACACACACACCAGCACAAATGAACTCACATGAAATTCATTGAACACCTAGGAACATACATGAATACACACACTTTGAAACTTGCTGGCTGACGTTCGGTAAGAACCGGGAAACTCACGAGTTAAAGTAGAAACACTTTAGATGCATTCTTTCAAGCGTCTGTACTAGCAAGAGTACATGAAAACCAGAGTGTGCAGCTTGGGTGTCTGTCACGGCGGAATTCCGTGATTACATCAAAATTTGGCGCAGATCTGAGGCGGGAAATGGCGTAGTGCGTACAACTGAGCTGCAGTTGTGCAGAAAGAGACCTGCTTGAATCCTGCTTGTACGCACTACATCACTAAAATGATGTAACCACGGAATTCCGCCGTGACAGCCACCCATCCGAGCTGCACACTCTGGTTTTCATGTACTCTTGGTACTAGGCTCTGCACCTACGTGTATTGCGCACTGTCACCAGTAACCGTAACTCTCTCCGAGTGTACATGAATGCACAAGCGCGCGCAAACACACACGGAACATCTGCAGCCTGCGGACGTGCAGCTATCGGCTTTGGAAGCCATTCAACTTGAAACAGGCCTGTCCCCCCCCCCCCCCCCCCACCACATACACATACACAAGCAGAAGTGAATTGTCCTTTCGATGGCTGACCAGACCACCCTAAAATACATTGCGTCGCACTTGAAGCCTATACCTGTAGTATCTCTGTTGGCCACCACGGCGCTCCATGGCATTCAGTGATCCCATACCTATACAGAACGTAAGCCAGAGAGAACGATGGGGAGAGAGAGAGAGAGAGAGAGAGAGATGGAGAGATTGTGCACAAAATTATATCATCCCAATGGAGAAGACAAGCAGCTGCACGGGCACACCAACACACAGCACACGCAGCTAAATAAATGAAAACGAGGCAAGCCCAAGTGCAGACAGCATGACACAGGACCAGCCAGTGGAACATTCAGCAGGCACTAGTTCAACGGTGGTGGTGTGCAACAAACACCAAAAATTACAACTAAAGATGATACTTCATCAGTGTGAACAGCTTCTTCAAGTGAGAGAGATGCCAGGTGCACTCGGATAGCTAAGCCCACATGCACAGCCATCTACAACGCAAAGAAGAATGCCTTTCTTCTGAATAGCCAAGCGCACATGCACGGGCATCTACAACACACAGACGAATGCCTTTCTCCGAATCAAGAGCATAGCAGCACTGGCTGGCAATGCGTGGCAGTCCTACCTCTGTACTTCTTCAGGCGAACGCCGTCTTGGAAGTAGTACTCGCCTGGTGCTTCATTGCTGCCAGCCAGCATGCCACCCATCATAACTGTCAACACAGAAACACACACACCATGTACCACACACACAGAACACACGTGTCCACACATCATGTACCACACACACAGAACACACGTGTCCACACATCATGTACCACACACACACACACACCCACCCACACACACATACACACATACACGTAGAGTGTTGAGTTCAGCGTGTAAAGGCATAGACAACAGCACAGCTCACGCAGTAAAAGTGATGACAAAAAGTCTACGGATGAAGTTTTGACACACACAGGCAACAAGAAGCTGAAGCATTGAGTGTCCCAGACGGACTGGCTCACCAAATACTGGGTGTACTCGACTTAGCTTGAAATGCTCATAATATAAATACTCGTACCACTTGATTCGAGGATGGTGTGTGTAGGGTTTTTCATGGTGGAATTTGCTCGCAAAAAAACAAACCCCAGGTGTACGTACTTGACCAGGCAGACTTCATACAGAGTGAGCGTACAGCCACCTAGCAAACAGAGTCGCACTATTATAACAGAGTCCTGTGAAGAGACAGGCTAGTCTTGATCAGTGTACATGTGTTGGTAACTAGATGCTCCAGTGTAGGACAGACCTGTGGAGGCGCCGAGTGACATGGCCTTCATGATGTGGCCAGCGCTGGAGATGCCGCCATCGGCGATGATGGGAATTCCTGTTCGCAGCCAACACAACACGCAGCAGACAGCACAAAGTATGCAAATGTTGTTCAGATAGACATGAATGCATGCACACCCACACCCACACACACTTGAAGTACAATCATACACCTAACGGATCATGTACAGCTAAAGCGCCTATACGATTTCGACACAACAAGCAGAGCCAACGTCGTTCATACTCAATGCACATGACTATACGCACTGACTTGTACAATGTTTCAGTACTTCAAGGAGACCACCAGTGCAAGATTTAGTGTAAAGAAGTAGTTTGCAATCGCGCTCAATACTCTCCAACCACCCAGATCAGAGATGTCCGGATAGAGCTTCACGTTGACGTAATGTTTTACGATGCAATGCTCGATGCCCGTGTGCTTTGGTGTCTCAGTGCACCGGCTTTGGACATTGCGCAATCATTGAGTAATCATTGCGTAATCATTGGGTAATCATTGAGTAATCATTGGGTAATCATTGCCTAATCTGATGCCGTGCACAGTCGTGCGAGCAGATACATGTGACTCATTGACAGATCTTTTAGTCGTGGAAGTCAAGGGTACAGGAATTGCATAACACCTGGTACATCGAGTTAAAACCCTGCTAGAAGAGCACTGCATGCGGGAGTTCCACTCTGGGTGGCTAAATACTCTTGCCAGTTCAAATAAATCACACATACACATTTGCGCACATGGCTTACCAAATCTTCTGGCGTATTCTGAGACCTTGTAAACAGCTACTCCCTGCGGCCTGCCGACAGCAAGGACTGGGTAGGAGAGAATCATACACAAACACACAGACACATGCTGGCACAGTACCATGGAAAAGACAGTGTGAAAAGGCTAATGCGTTCACAGCCGCCTCGACCAGCAACCAGAATATCCACACAAATGCACCGAATCAGACAAAGATAATTTTGTAGACATGCACACACACACACACACACACACACACACACACACACACACACACACACACACACGTACACACATGTACATGCGTGCGTGCGTGCACACACACAGATCCAGTGCGCCTTACCTTCCTGAGTAATACAAATGGAGCCGCTGCCCATACCGACTCGCAGCGCATGGCATCCAGCGTCAATAAGATTGCGAGCTTGTGCGGCCGTTACAACTAAACAAGGCAACATCACGTACACACAAATGCATGGTATTAGATAAACCTTGTGTTTAGTTCACACATGTTATTGCTTGACAGCATGAAACAAGGTGGAGGACACCGTTTTCGGAAACTAAGGTCACTGTTTCCGAACACGGCGTCCTCCACCTTGTTTCATGCTGTCAACCAACAACACACAAATACATGTAGTGGAACTCACTTCAATAGTACATGCTCTGATAAGACAAACATGTGCTTAGTACGTACATTTGAGCACGGGTGTATACTATTGATCCTTGCCAAAGCATGGTGGGATAAGAACAATTCTAATTTCAGAAATTTTAGGTGCTCAATATTTTCGGTATGAGGGCAAAAGGCCAGGTTAGGTGAACAGAAATTTTCGGCACAGAGAAACAGTTCCCTATTGGATTATGCGTGTCAGTGTTTGTTCGGTGTATTGAAATTTTAGGTACGAAACAGACGCACCGAAAGTACCGAAAACAAAAGTACACCGAAAATTTGTGAAACTACAGTACCTCGGACACCAAGTACAATTCCTGCTGCCCTTGGGGGTACATGTATATGTCCTATCAGTGTTCTACTGTACCAAGGTACACACTACAGTACAATGCAGTATACTACAGCAGCACTAGCAACTCTAGTAGCTACGCCAAGCATATCCCGCTGGTGCTGCTGCAGACGCGTTACACTAGAACCAGAAACACAACCGGGCTGGCAAACACTGTAGCCAGGCCCAATGGCCGATTGGTTTGCAGGCCTGCCTGCGAATCATGAGGTCCCGAGTTCAAGACCCGCGCTGGTAGCAGGGAGCGTGTAAAAAGACTTTTTACGCGTGTTGAACTGCGCCGACACCCACGGTCAACTGGGTACTCACAGCTCGGAGTGAGAATAACAAGGATGCAGTTTACAGGGTTATGGGCCGTTACACGCCCGATTGGTTGAGAGACTAACCTCCTCAACCCTGACTCACTTGTGAGGTCTGCATTCGCCACTACAGTCCATTTCAAAACTATAGCCGCGTACCTAGGCAAAAACCGTTATGCCAGCATCTATACCACATAAAATCTGTGATCACTTTGTGCATAAATTTTTCCAAATTGGGCGTCTGTTATCCAATCCTTTAGAAACTATATTATGAGAGTAATTGTGGAGCGATCCTGAGCAATAATTATTCCGAAAACTATTCTCAAAAAGTTCCAGCCAAATTTGAAATATTTCAAAAACCCTACGCGTCTAGAGTTTTGAAATGCACTGTAAGGTTAACAGGCATAGTGGTGGCCTGCGGATGCGAAGGCTAGTTTGTGTGTTTCTGGACATTCAAGCGATGCCGACGCGGATCCCGCGAATATTATTATTATTTCGAGTTTTACGGGAGACATACAAAACTGACCTGCGTTTGATCTTCGCTTGAGCAGTCTCCTCGCTCTTTTTGGGTGATCTCAAGTTTCTAGTCCTTTGGTAAGGCTTTGGAGCAATGCCTCCACCCGTTCGCGCGGCGTCCAGACGTTTCTCTGTCGACACGCTGTCTCTCGCTTTTTGCCAATATTCGAGGGCGGGTTTCGATCCTTGCGCCTCTTGTTACGCCTTAGGTTGTTGCGGCATCGTGTTCAGCGCCCCCTAATCCTTCACACTACCAAGTTTCATTGGCGTAACAAGAGGCGCACCGACGTTATGGCTCCCGACTGGTGTCACTGTCCAGCAGCGGCGGAGGATTCCTTTGGGAAGGCATGTGCACCAATCTAAAAGGCAACAGAAGCAAGCGAATCGCCATCAATCCGATTAAACTTCGCTTGCGTCTGGTGTGCAGCATTTTGTATCTATTCAGAAGCTTGTTCAAGTTGTTGGTGATGAAGGCAAGGAGATGGCTACTTCAGTCCCAGGTACTGTTTCGAAAGGCTATGCCTTTCTTGCAAAGTTTTGTCCAATTGTATGCATCATTTCAGAAATGGAAACTATTTCCAAAATTCCAACGCTGTCAGTGTTACTCAATCAAGGCAACACTACAAATAGTTGTCAGCCAAACATAGCCTGTGTGAGAGAGAAAGTGGGGAACATTCACTTTCACACAGGCCATATCTCTAACAAAGTCTCTCTACTACTCCAGAACAAACAATACGTTCTCAGCACAATTATGTTTTCAAATTCCTGATCGTCTGCAGAAATTTGAGAAAGCGCTTCTTCCTACATTATCCATCAACAGCAGCTACCGCTCCCGTTGCTACCAACTCGTCATTGGATCCCAAAGACCTTGCCATCAGTGGTTCACATCAAACAGTACTGGCGATCCTTGAAGACAATTAGACATTTCCCTTCTCTGCAAAGGAACAAACATTTTCTCTTCAGAAAGTTTTCGGCTCGAGTGCTTGTTATGTACGGCTCAGATCAGGTACACTTCACTTTGCGAGCAGCGCTCGGTGGCGCTAGCATAGCAAAGTACACGCACGTGACACTCGAGATTACATCATGCACTCTGCGTCGCGACTTGGGACCCGAGTGCCGGGTGCCACTTTTCGAGCTCCCACGCATACATTCGTCGCGACAAAAAAATCACGTAGTCGGGCTCCTTTCAACACCCATAACTCTCTTCTGCCTGCTCTAACTCAGCCCAAATTTTAGATTTGAACTCCTGAAGCTCTGAGCTTTCCGTGGATACCCAATTCGTTAGGGTTTTCCAAAATTTAATTTTCGCCTGACCTCGCTAACAATAGAGTGGTTTCACATCAGTCACATGACCACACGGGCAGCCATGCTGGATTCCCAATCCAGTAAACCCCTGGATCGGTGGGTCATATGATGTCGGCCATGTTGGTTCCACTGTACACAGGACATGATCACTTTCTACACAAAATTAGTCAGATGACCAGGATGTGAAATCACTCTATATAAAATTATAAATCAATAAAAATAAAGAAAAGATGAGCCATACGATCAAGGTGAGGCAGGTGGCTCTACTTCGTGTTAACATTATATATGTTACTAGTACGTCAACATAAGGACAACGAACTTACCATTGCCAGCGATGATCTGGACTCGTGGGAAGTTCTGCACAGCATTTGACAAATCAGCAGAGCATACATAGTCAGTGAAATGAGTGGAGTGGAGGGGAGAGAGAGAGAGAGAGAGAGAAAGAGAGAGAGAGAGAGAAATTACAATTTAGAATCACGAATCGTGTGGCGCAGAGAACTGGGCACACTGTCGATGTAGCATGCCACCATAGCATGCCGCCATATCAGTCTGCACGCATTCACGTGGCAGGCGAACATACCGCATGACTGATCATCCAGAATCTACTGCAGCGCTTTGTATGGTCAGAACACGGTGGTGAACGCACGCCCGACTACTAAACACACACTCTCTGCGCGGCAAACAGTTTGCAAATCAGCACCACAGGCGCGCGCAGATGAGCGCACAGAGGCACAGACATATAAACAGACACATAAACACACACACACACGGGCACGCACAGGAGGTAGGCCTACCTCTCTGATCCACTTGACCATGTTGACCTGATAAATTGAGTTTCCCTGGGAAGAGTCCTGTCCAAACATAAGGATAAAGAAGAAGTTGAGTGTGTTAAGAAAAACACAAACAAAACAATCTGAGACGCAAGTTACCGGATGGAGTGGATGTCGGATATTGTTAATGACCTTGCATATAAAAAGTATGAATGCCGTAAACATCACCACTCAACATGACAACTTGTAAAAGGTTTAGATGTTCTTATTAAATATTTCCAGGCTTCTACAGTCCTGCTCAATGAAATCCAGTCGCAGCACTTAAGTGTGTGCCTTGCACCATTTCGAATTCCAGTGCTCGCAGGTCTAGGGCTGCGCAACGCCCGGCACGTACATGGGTGCATCGACTGGATTTCATTGAGCAGGACTGTAGTTCCAATCGACAGTGGAATAGCTCTGATTAAATTGCTGTCTCCACGAAGATTATTTGACACCACTCGGGAGTACAAAATGCACAGGCCTCAAGATAACAGTCGGGTAGTGCGACAACAAGGCACACAACTGACAGGGGTACTGAGATATTCGACGGCCTTGACACCTAGCCCCAACACATCTACGCAGCGCAAACCAACAACCTAGTCATAACTGAGAACTGATACTGATATATCTTAGTATCATTGCATTCTTGTCTCTTGAGGAAACTAGTCATAATTCAGAGCCATAACCCGTAACGTATTGGTCCTTTGTCTTCTACATGAATACTGTTAAACATGTAATTTTCGGTGTAACTTTAATTTCGGTGATTTCGGTGGAGAAGCCAGGCACCTAAATTTAAATTTCACCTAAAAGGCACTAGAGTATGCACTGTATGTGAACGGAACGCTGCTCACCTAATTCTACATCACACCTGAAACCTGGCAGGTCCCTGGCACCGAAATTTCAATGCACCTAAAATTACATGTTTTACAGTGAATACTATTGGCTCAACATCCCTACTCATAGTATATCCTTTCTGAAGGGTTTGGCAACAGATTGAATACATTATTAATTTATTATTAACGGTTTTGAGTGGAGTTGTATGCCATCTGTGCTGAGCCTATACACGAGATAGTGTCATGCTGAGTTGGGAGCTGCTGTTGTGAACGGCGTAAACGGTGACGCGTGCATGCCACTAACCAGAACGACGACATCCACACAGCAACGGATTGAATACATTAGCGGTTTTGAGTGTAGTTGTATGCAATCTGTGCTGAGCCTATACATGAGATAGTGTCATGCTGAGTTGGGAGCTGCTTTTGTGAACGGTGTGCATGCCACTAACCAGAACGACGACATCCACACCAGCGGCCGCTAGCTTGGTTAGACGCTCCTTGTCGTGTTCCCGCGTGCCGATCGCAGCGCCAACTGGGTGCAGCAGATAACACAGGCGCAGTCATGAACAGGTACATGGATAAACAGGCACATGCATGAACAGGCACATGGATGAACAGGCACATGCATAAACAGGCATATGCATGAACAGGCGCAGGCATGAACAGGCATATTGCATGAACAGGCATATGCATGAACAGGCACATACATGAACAGGCACATACATGAACAGGCATATGCATGAACAGGCATATGCATGAACAGGTACATACATGAACAGGCATATTACTTCAGGGGCCATAATTATGAATAATTCAGGTGATCCTAAATCCAACAATGAGTCCAATTTACGAGATTGAATCAGCTGCTGCTTCCCTTATGGTCGCAAGTCAACTATAGAGAATCCACCCAGGAGCAGTATACAGTTCATAAGCGTACATGTCCTTCACAGTGTAGTGCATCACACAACACGGGCCACTCACCTCGCAACTGTTTCTGCTCGTCTTTGGTTGAAAGCGGGAACTCTCTGTTCTTTTTCAAGTCGGTTCTGGCGATGAGAGAGACGAGGACGCCCTGCTCGTTGATGATCGGTAGCTTTCCTTTCCTGGATTCCTGCATGATCTGATTAGCTTCTGGAAGTTTGCAACCAGCCTTAGCCGTTACCAGGTCTCTGGTCATGAACTGGGAGAAGAGAGAAAGGAGGTATTAGCAGTACTTCACCACCACAGGCTTGAACGCAATAGAAAACTTGAAATGAGCAAGGACAGTGGGGGGGGGGGGGGGGGGGAGTGCAGGGCACATGGGCACAGGCATTGTGCACAAGAATGCATATGTGCTAGCACATGGCACACGCTCTCATATGCACAGCACTATCAGGGCTGGCAAGGCACAATAAAAACAGCAACAGCAACAGCAGCAGCAGCAGCAGCAGCAACATCAATTGCCTCCCAACAACAGATTCTGCTTAGGCAAAAGATCTCTTCCCTGCTGCTAAACTGAATCTGCTCATGCACGAGCCACGCTCATCCGTACACCTAGTCTGCCCACTGCTAATCATGCAATTTCGTTAACCAAGCATTCCAAACCCTCCATATGATGTAAGTCTCACTCTAGTATCTCTCATTGGCCACACAGGCCATCGCGAGAATAAATATTTGAAACAGTGAACGGCCTACCTCAGTGACTGAACGGTTGTGCTGGGATGGGGGCACAAAGTCGATGTCACGGGAAGTGACTAAACCAATCAATTTACCGCCGATCTTGCCAGAGTCTAATAAAAAACAGAGTCAGCAGCAGAAGCAACAGCAGTGGAAACAGTCATAAAAAGGTGTACGCAAGAGGTAAACCAAAAAAAGGTGTACTACATTGCAGTTACATTACCGTATTATCTCTAATATAAGCACGGTCCTTTATTTTTTCAATGTACCTCCGCCCCGTGCTATTAATGGAGACGTTCCTTTATTGGAGACTGTTCCATTATTATTTCAACCTCATTTCAGAGGCACGTTGCCATGCCAAATTCATGTCAGACACAAACATTTCAGGGTTTTTTCGCCGGTACAGATAATGAATTTACACAGTGTGCTTATAATGGAGACTGAGCACTTTATTTTTTGAATGCCGCCCCAAGGTGTTCTATTATTGGAGACGTGCTATTATTGGAGACTGTGCTTATATTAGAGATAGTACGGTATCCAGTGTCGTAACAATAACTGTGATCCATTGCCATCACTCCTACTGTTATACATGTACATGGGTGATATGAAGAGTGCGCAACTGGATGATCCCTCATGAGCCCCCCCCCCCCCCTTTATACGGTCTTGATCATAGAAGTCAGTAGGTAGTGTAGTTCTGTACACACGCACGCACGCACACACATACACACACACACACGCACTAGTTGCTCACTGCCAAAACTGGTCACGTGGGTCTCCCCGGGAGAGGGGAGAGAGACTCAAAAGGAATCTTGGAAAGATGACTCAATTGGCTATTGAACCGCTCAACGGCCAACACCCCCAAAATCCCCAAAACTCTGGGTGGACTTGAAAATGATCCCACTCATGGGCTCACCACACAGTAAGTGGGTGAGGCCAAGGCGCAGAAAAAAGACTGACGGCATCAGGGTATCCGCCCCGGGATCCACTTGCAGTTACCCTTGCCCCCAGTGAAGGTAATACTTGCAACTAGTGTGGGTGGCTAAATCAGAGTGGATCTGATATGAGCTTCACTAGCACCATTGATTACACAAGAGTTAATCTAGCCACACACACACACACACACCACACCACACACACACCACACACACCACACACACCACACACACACACACACACACACACACACACACACACACACTGCTGCTGCCATGTGAGAGTTTGAACAAGAGAGGAGCATGACGGTGGCCGCGGCGCAACACTTACCAGTCACTGGGAATCCGGAGAAGCCGTACTTCTCCTTGAGCTCCAGAATGTTAGCCACCGTGCAGTCCGCGCTGATCACGACAGGGTCCATGATGAAGCCTTGCTCGTATTTCTACGCGTGAGCGCGTATACAAACAGACACGCAGCAAACACAAACACAAGATCAACACAATCAGCAAAAAAATAGCAGCAACAGATCAAGTGCTCAACAAGTTGTCTCCAAGCCAATATATCCAAAAACATTGGCAACATTACAAATAGATCAACAGCCACGCGACATTGGAAATGACTGAAAGCGTTAACCCTGCTCATTAATTTTTTTTAAATTTCATTGGAGTACAATAATGGGTGCGTAGGTGCTACGTCCATGGCGAGTCACTAGGAGCGACTGACTGCTTGCTTTCTCATAGAGCTTCTTCATTTCCGGCGAGTGATAACGGATTTGGCAGTTTATAGTGGCACGTGAAAGATACCAGAAAGTACTTACCGGTAGCTGACCATGGTGGTAATATCATCGGAATGAATGCCCAGATGCTGAACGACAGGTCTCAATAATAAAATCAAGTTTTTATCTGATTTTACTGAGCGAAAGCATTGCCGTTTTCTTTTGTTTCACCTCCGCGCGGGTGTACTGTAGAATCAGGTGACCAGCCTACCCTTCACATACAGGGTGTACTCTAGCGACTTTAAGATGTAAAAATTACACCGAAAATAACGTGTTCTATAGACTACGCTACTACTCACTTTGACCTTCCTGACTTCAGCGGCTTGCCGGTCGGCATCCATGTTAGCATGGATGATACCAATACCACCCATCAGCTGTATGCGGAGACAGCACGGAAACAAGCAGCACAACACAACTCACCATGCTGGCATACACTACATATCCGCCCCTTAACGAACACGCACGTCCCGTGTTCCCATTGCAGCAGTACGATTTAGGCGCTGCACAATACGCTAGGCAGAGGAGGTAAGCAGGATTAGAGTCAGCAAAGTCCGACATAACTTTAGACAGGGTATATCTCAATACTATCATAAGCCCACCTGACACTGCAATAACGGTATCAGCTCACACTAGTCATACTATTAGTATATCGTAGGCGGTTCAGTTGCACGCATACCGGCATGCTAGCATCTATGCAGTGCACTTAGTCAGGTTCTACTAGTACTTACAGCCATTGCTGTTGCCATGGGAGCCTCTGCAGCGAACACACATACATAAGAATACAGAGCATTGCATGGTAAGCCCGTCATTCCTTATACGCGCACATACGTGCACGCACGCAACAGCTATTGAACCGCCCAACGGCCGACACCCCCTGATCTTAACTCTAGGCGGACTTGGAAACGATCCCACTTATGGGATCACCACACGTCAGTCAGTGGGCGAGGACTAGGTGCAGAAAAAGGATTGACCCTCCGGGAATCCAACTACATTCACCCCTGTCCCCAGTGAAGGTAATACTTGCTACACTACTAGTACTAGTGTGGGTGTTCAAATCAGAGTGGATCTGATAAAAGCTCCACTAGTAGGGACTTCAATTGAAAAACCAAATTCGCGAGTTTCGCATAAAACGCTAGTTTTTCTAAACCGGGAAGGTGTGAGAAACAACCTGTGAAAATTTGAACCCAAAATTCCAAGGCAATCTAGAGTTATAGTCGATTGAAGATCGGAAAACGGGGGAGAAAGTAGTCACAGAAGTAAATGCAAGTATGTATGTGAGCCGTGTGGTTTCCGTCCAGCACTGCACTATCTGGTACATACATGGCGATACAGGATGTGTGCATGCATGCAGTGTGCACGCATGCCGTGCGCGCCTACTTGCACAAGTCACACGTTTTCACCGTCACTGCTTCTACAGCGTGCGCGCAGTTCACTCGATTTTTTTCGTCTACCACCAGGAAATCGCCGTGGGCTGGTTTCTGTGATCATCTTCCTTCTACCGTGATAAAGCGCGAGCCTCAATGTTCTAGAATCCTCTTGGTTTAGGCTAATTCGAGGCCGCTGAACACGAAAATCGGGTGTTCTTCGTGGGGCCGAGTACGGATCTGGTCGAAATTAGTACTTCGAAGTGCATCCGCGCAAGCGCAGAGGCATTATTTTTGGAAGCATGGCATGTGTGGCACCATTGGAAAGGTAATGACCTCAGCTACCTAAAAATAGCATCGACAAGGCCGAAAAGGCCGCGGGAGAAGATACTTGGGCCTCGAACTGCATCTCGAACTGCAGTCACGAGGCGCCCATTCACTTTGTACAGGCGAGCTGTGACTGCACTTTTCGCTTTTCTGTGACCGGAACTGAACTCCCTACCACTAGCACCACTGATAACACAAGCACTAATCTAGCTAGAAGTAGTCCATGGTTAACCGGTATGTACGTATAGTTCATATAGAAAGTATATGAACCCTGAAACCAACAAAGGTGGCAGGTACAGCATTACACCTTCAAGCAGCCGAGCCCGTTGGCAACAGACCCAACACTATCTGGCATTAGTGTACCCACCAGCCGGATCTAGCTGGCACCCCCCCCCCCCCCCCACACACACCCACATGCACCCACCCACACCTACACACGTGTATATACATACTTATACATACTGTTGAGTTCGAAACAGGACTACTGACGACATATCCAGACATTACAACGGGAACAGGTAGGTTGGGGGAACGACATTTATTATACTAGTAGACGACGAGACAAGAGACCAAGACGAACGAAACGACTACATTGAAGAGTGAGGAAAAGAGAGAGTGAGATCAAGTCTAAACGGCAAGATAAAGGGCCTGGGTAGCTATGGCAAATATGGGCGCGCAAGTAGCTACCCAGGCCAACGGAGCAAAAGGAGACAAAAGGTGCGTACGCAAGGGCATGCAGGCCAGCTAGAAATGTACGGGAGGTGGTACCTAACATACCACCCCTCCATGAAAAAAATCCCGCGTCCTCGCGGAGAGAAAAAAAAAAAGAGAGGAAAAGATTTTAAAAAAATGAACTGGAGGAGAAAACACACACACACACACACACACACATACTGCACGCGCGCATGGATCTCACGAAAGTGTGTACTAAAATGCACTCGTACAGATCATTCCTGTACTACTTATTGTGTGAAATAACAATTGGAGTTTGACGAGGAACGTGAATTACTAGTATTTTGCACGGCTAATACAGCCTAGTTACACTTTTGCTAAACATCCAAAAATTAGAGCGTGGCTCACCATGATCGGACCCCTAACTTGGTTATGTTTTACGAACACACGCGCGCGCACACACTACAAAAAATTCACGAAAATAAATTTGACGAAGAAGCATACAAAAAAAAGAAAGAGAGAAAGGTAGCTGACCTGCATGGCTTGAACGAGAATAGACGAGGTAAGGTTGGCGTAGGAGAGACGAGGTTGATAGAGACGAGACGAGGTTGGCGTAGGAGAGACGAGACTGACATGGACGAGACGAGGTTGACATAGACGAGACGAATGGCGGTTGAGGACGGCTGGGCATGGGATGATCTCAGGGTCGTGGGTCGATCAATAATCGGGCGCCAATGTTGAGTTCGAAACAGGACTACTGACGACATATCCAGACATTACAACGGGAACAGGTAGGTTGGGGGAACGACATTTATTATACTAGTAGACGACGAGACAAGAGACCAAGACGAACGAAACGACTACATTGAAGAGTGAGGAAAAGAGAGAGTGAGATCAAGTCTAAACGGCAAGATAAAGGGCCTGGGTAGCTATGGCAAATATGGGCGCGCAAGTAGCTACCCAGGCCAACGGAGCAAAAGGAGACAAAAGGTGCGTACGCAAGGGCATGCAGGCCAGCTAGAAATGTACGGGAGGTGGTACCTAACAATACTTATACACACCGTGTACACCTGTCGCACCAGATGCATGCAAATCACCCACGCACACGCACACACACACATCTACACACCCACACCCACGCGTATACACACACAGTTTACCTGTGACTGTGTCCATTGGAGAGCTGACAAATGGAGCCTTCAGGACAATGTCCTTGGTCAGCTTGGTGGAGAGATCCTACGAGCAGCAACCAAGATTAAAACAGTCGAAAAAGGCTGTGCGTTCAACCGGCACTTTCCACCTTCATGCAACATGACATCATGTGTGAACGGCTTGCAAGACGGAGTTTCCACTCGAGTCCCCGCTGGCAAGGTTCTAGGTACGCTACATTTAAAAAAGATGCAAACTACATGTACCGTAAAGTCTTGTATAAAAGCCGCACTTGAATAGAAGCCGCCCTCGAATAGAAGCCGCAATTTTGGGCCCATCAAATCACACACAAGCCTGGTTTTAGTGTTGACATACATGGAAATACCTGTCTCATATAGAAGCCTGCAAAATTTCACCAAGAAAGTCACAGAAGCCGCGGCTTTTATACAAGACTTTACGGTATGTAAGACTGAGAAAGCTTCTAGGTGTGTGCATCCAAGTCGCTAAGAAAAACCCTATCACTAACTGAAACCAATATCCGGAGGCCATTTACTGTCATAGATGTAGAGCTACAAGCACATGTACTGTAAAACCGGAAAGTCTAACGAGTCACAAAGTCTAACGTTACAAACAACAAATTGTTTTTCGTTATTTGAAAAAGAAAAAACCCGTTATGGCTGGATGTCTGTGTAAAGATGCGCATACAGATGGGTGGCTAGGTAGCTTTCTGCACGTAATCATGCCAAAATTACAAAACGTTAAACTTTTTGGTCGTTAAACTTTCCGGTTTTGCAGTATCTTTTTTCTCTCTGATAGAACGCCATGTTTGGGCACCATAGAATTGACAAAACTCCTTCAAAGTGCCTAAACATGTACTGTAGAAATTGATATTGATTTCCTCATTCACTTAGGCCTCGTTTAGGCCACACGTTTTTATTTCTATGTTTCTCGTCACCCGCGCGCATACGATTCAGGAGTCTGGAAGAAAAAAGAAAAAAAAAACTGTGCTGCACTGACTGCGCATGTGGACCAGCACACTCATGCACAGGTACATAATGTGGCCTGGCCTGCGCGACACATGATGCAAGGACGGTATTTTTTGTGCGCAATCTAGCTGCACATGCACAGATTGTGACAGAAGTTCCACATACTAGTTGCTAACTATGGATGCTATTTTGCATGGTGTGTTGGTGGATTTTAGTGTGAACAAAGGTCTAATAAACTTTTTTTTATTTTTTTCCACCTCTCGCATACGTTTTTAGATTTTCAGGTGACGAGAAACATAAAAATAAAAACGTGTGGCCTTACACGACAACGATTGAAAAACGTTCTTGTCAAAAACGTTTTCAAAAGAATACGCTTCCACAGATTTTGATAAGAGCGTTTACACGACAACGCTGAAAAACGTTTCAAACGAAAAACGGCCTTCAAAGTGTTTTTCAATCGTTTTCGTTCCGTTTCGTTCTCGAGTAAACGGCAAAAACGTTTTACTAGTACGAGCCTTGTACTCAAAACATGCCGCCGCCAGCCTGCACCAGGCCACGTGACCATTGCGCGCCGAAAACGTGTTGCAGTGTACACGATTATCGTTTTCGTGTAAACAGCAAAAACGTTTCGAAAACGATTGAAAAACGTTTTTCAATCGTTGTCGTGTAAATGAGGCCTTAGGCTCAACATCCGAGTTCATTCCGGACACCCCTGGAATTCTGAAAAAGTTGTGAAAAGACATCGATATGAAGAACACACCCTGACGGAGTCGATGGCCTCTACTGGTGCAGCCCCGTCGTAAAAGTAAGAAATTAGAACCGGTGCATTGTCCCCCCAAATGTGAACATGCGACGAGTACCTGCGCAGCAAAAGAGCCGACACCATGAGGTCTCAAATGATGATCGGCTACACCAATTCATGGCACTGTGACTGTGCACAGTGTCCACGAAACTTCGTTGACGGCCACCGTGAATTACAGGTCCACAACATGCTTGTCACTGGCGACACGAGCCAAGATGCGTACAGATGTCTGACGCACACAGCGCACCATGAATGTTCGGCATGCGGTGGAAATCACGAAATATGTCGCATATCCACTATGGACCACGCACGTACAGGTGTCTGCATGGAAATATTCCGAGGTGTGCGCGAGGAAGATGTGCGCCTTTCCTCTTGCCCGCCTCGTTCAATGTTGGTGGTAGACGTCTGTCTCTTGTTGCGAGTGTGAATCACCATGGTGGGCAGACGGGTGGCCATTACACAGCTCGACTGTATCGCCATGGTTGTGTGTGGAGTGCAAATGACAGTGCAGTGTCGTTGACAGAGTCCATTGTTGACCATACCAATGTGTGCCTTGCAGCACAACTGCGCTATGTTGGAACCATGGGCCATCTCCCCATGGGGGTCGCCGCCGCAATTCACCGACTGGGTGCGGCAAGCACCATCGTCGCCGTCGCCGCAGACACCCGTACTTCCACCCGCACCACCGACGCCCGGGATTATCAGGCCGGCACGCCTGAACGCCGCGCGTCGCCAACTCGCCTTACCGCCACGCCCTCCGTCAGCGGAAGAACTAATCACGGCCATCCGAAATCGACTCAACATACGCACGTACCGACCTCCGCGACGACACCATACACACAACCTCCGACGACCACGCCCGCAACCTCGACCACGACCACGACCAATACGCCCGACTCGACACCGATACTATGACGCCGACGTTCTGCCACCGCACCGGCTTGCCATGCCGACCATGCTCCGCCACGCGCCGTACCGCCACTGGACTGGCCCTCCACCCAATCGTCGTCCTCGCCACGTGTTCCCTCGTCGGGGTTCGGTCTATGACCACTCCACCCGTTGGTTTGTCTGGTGATGCCCTGGTCCTGATTGTCTGTCTAATGTTGTCCTAATCGTTTTTCGTGCCGACTTGTAGCCATTGTGTTCCCCTTGCCATGTTGTGTTTGCGTTGTTGTTGTTGTTGTTGTTTTGTGGGTGCGTTTCTTTTTCTTCGTTTTCTATTGAACTTGCGGGTTCTACCATTTGCGTGTGCGGCTTTTTGTGTCTTGTGGGCCTTAGTCTGTTTGTCCCGATGATGTTGCTAGCGCGTTAACTCTTTTCTGAGCGAATGTGCAACTGAGGATTGTCTCATTCACGAATAATTCTTTGATGTCGCTTCCTCGCAGATCGACGGATTTCGCCTCTCCATATAAGTTCCTTGTCATGTGCAACGTGCCGTGCCAGTGGTTGTGGCGTATTTGCACCACCACTGAACCCTTATGTCCTGCGCTGTGTGTCCATCTGCAGTATCCATGTGCACAATGTATTCTCTGGGAGGCAGCCACGGGCCCGTGGACGTGGACGAGACATGGCGAGGTAAGGAGCAGTGTGTGTGAATATCCCCATTCATGCATTCTGCCTACACAGTTCCACCTCGGTGTCTGCAACATCGACCTGTGCTAAATCGTTGGACAAGGACAATTTTCCAAAACCCGCAACTGCTGTATATAACACCCTTATTTCGGTGTAATTTAAATTTCGGTAACTTCCATACTGGTCCTAGATCACCTAATTTAACATTTTAATACACCTAAATTTGCCGAAATACCAAAATATGTAAAAATCATGAAAATCACTGTCAAATTAAAAAAATCAACTTGTATACATGTACTGTATACATGCACTGGTATAGTACATTGTACATACATGTACTGGTATAGTACATTGTACATACATGTACTGGTATACATATGCGCTGCCTCCATCTTGTCGCCTGGCCGGATCGCCTGCTTTGTTTCGCGCTCACACACAGTCTCATTCAGGGTTCCCGGTTCCCAGTAAAAAGGCAACATTGCCTGTTGGGAAATCCCTTACAAAATAAGAAAATGTAGAAAGGAAAAGGAAATATAGATACGAGTTGAGAGTAACTCTCCATCACTGTAACCAGATATTATATACAGTCAGAAAGTGCAACAACTAGGCACAAAACTGACAGAGTACTGATACATTCGACGTCCTGACACCTAGCTTCAACACATCTCCGTAGCGCTAACCGACAACCCTCTTTGGTCTTTCCATAACATTGAACCTTCCAAGTTGGAAGGCTGTCGGTTAGCGCTACGGAGATGTGTTGAAGCTAGGTGTCAGGACGTCGAATGTATCAGTACTCTGTCAGTTTTGTGCCTAGTTATTGCACTTTCTGACTGTATATAGTATCTGGTTACAGTGATGGAGAGTCACTCTCCACTCCTATCTATATTTCCTTTTCCTTTCTACATTTATTATTGGCTCAACATCCGAGTTTCAAAATAAGAAAAAAATAATAATAATTATGTTGAGCCTAGCCGGAGATATTAGTGCAAGAGTGTTTTTTTTTGTTTTTTTGGTGCCATGCATACCGAATTTATCCTTACACCGAAAGGTCAGGGGTTGGCTTTTAGGGCCTGGTCAGACTGCGGCAAATTTTGGTTGCCTGACGAAAACAGAAAAGCGTCCAGAATTAGAATCGCGATCACACTACACACGTGGGGAGAATGAAAATTCAAACTTCATTTCGAGCGTCAAGTGGTAATTTCCACGAACGACGTCAAATTCCTTCACCTTGGGGATCACCAACACCTTCAGTGCAATCCTTGCCACCATCCTTATCAGTTTTGTTGTTGTCCGTGGCCAATTAGCTCCTTGATATCGAGATGAAAAAATAAGTGAATATCAGCGTCAATGGCGTATCAGCGTCAAACTCCTGTTGGAGCGGAAAAGCGTGGACCGTTCTTGCTTTTTTTTGGAGCGTCAACTCCCGCTTTTGCCGCTCTGGCGGCAAGTTACTATGGAGATTCGGATAATAATCCTAGGATTATTTCGATTTTGCCGCAGTCTGACCAGGCCCTTACCGAAATTTTACAACACCGAAAATAAGGTGATACTGTAGAGGCAGAAATTTTCGTCGGTCAATAATTTCGTTCAACTCCAAAGAAAAGGAGTTTGTCCGGTTGAAATTTTCGTCCATGGATCATGAGAGTGTATAGAAAAGCTGGACAAATCGATATTCGTCCTACATTTAATTTAGTCCAAAAGCTCCTTGGACGAAAAAGACGAAATTAAATTCCAGACGAATATTTCTGCTTGTAGAGTATAGAGTAGTTAACTTGCCGATGTGTGCGGGCCATAAGCTCGCATCGGTGGTATGCAATGGCTGAACGCTTCACAACCTCCGTCTGTTGCCTAAACACGCATTCTTCTGCCTTCTCCCTGCGTTCGTGTCCAGGTCGCCATAGTTTCAGTCGCCACTCATCACTTGGCCATTAAAACAGCGTCGACAGCATTCATGCAATTAAAAATGTTTCGTCCGCAAGCCAATGTGTTGAATTAAGTCTGCTGAAGTGCTATTGCACAACATGTCCGTGTTTGTTCTCCTCTGTGCGCGCACGCGCGTGTGTGTGTGTGTGCGCGCGTACATGTATTCATCTTCCTTTGTGTGCGCATGCGTGCGTGCGTGCGTTCATTTATGTCTTCCCTTGTGCGTGTGTTGGGGGGGGGGGGGGGGAGAGGTGTGCGGTGGTCTCACTGGCCCCGTCACTGACGACAGAGATGTCCCACACACGGTGTCATCATGTAACAAAACCAAACAAGAACAAACCTACCACTTCATTTGCCTCAAAATCAATATATCCCGGCAGCAGAATGAAGTCACTGCAGATCAAAGCAAACGCACAAGCCAAACATGCATGGAGACCGTCAAACATAAAAATAATAACAATACACGTTCCGGGGAACCATATCATGATACACGTTCTGGGTAACCATCCTGCGCCAAAGAGGGCGTGTGCACAGTCCTGCACATACAGCTATGGCCAAAGAAATGCGACCCGCGGGCAGAAAAGAGCGCCAAGGCCCATGCGACCCAGGATGGGGCTTTAGACCGTGCATGATGTAATTGAAATGGAACTGCGGCGTTGCTGTGGACTAAGTGTGCACGGTGTGAGGACCGCAGTGTGCTAAGTGTGCTAAGATCACACTTAGCATGTCCTTGCGTGGAACTTGCATTCGCTCGAAGGCAAAAATGAGTACGGATTCACTGCACGATGTGCAATGCGTGTACACAAGGTATGTGTTGTATGCAATGTCAATGTGTGAAACGTTCACAAGGATTAATGTGGCTTGAGGAACACATATGATAGATCTACTACTTCGAAGTACAGTGCGTATCGGCTATAGCGTGGTCGTGTAAAAGAATATACTGCCTACAAGAATGACCTCTCATATTTTCATAATCATAACATGGGTTTCAAGTGAACATTTTTTCTTACAAGCAATATTATCGCATTGTAGAATATATCGGTCCTAGGAATGGTTTTGTGTAGCAAAACATACCAGATTAGTACAAAGTGTATCGCCTGTAGTAATAACATTTGTCCAATGCAGTTCTGATCCGACTCGCATTGCATCGTAGTGTTGCAGGTTCAACTGTTGCTGTCATGTACATGACTGTATCTCATGCTGCATAGCCACATGGCAAGTGTATGGGACTATGAACACCCGCATGCACAGCAGAGATACGTTGTATGTATGATGGCCATCATGTCTCTGCGCACATGCATCTGACATGTCACACTTGATTTATCGTGTGTAAGAAATATCGGAAATAAGAATAGAAAGTCGTTCTTCAAACACCCACGCTATAACCGATACCTACTGTACATGTAAAAAAAAGTAAAGTTAATTGGATTCGCGGCCGCATCACCGATGTGTCGAGGAACACATCAAGCAAAGACGTTCGCATCGGTGGGCCACCACTTCGTTCATATATCCCAGTGTCGAATGCAGACCTCACAAGTGAGTTAGGGGAGAGGGAATAGGTCTCCCAACACAACAGGTGTGTAACAGCATTATTATTGAGGCTATAACCCCATAGACCACATCCTTGTTACCCTCACTCCAGAGAACGTGAGTACCCAGTTCACCATGGGTGTCGGCACAGCTCATTGCATGTAACGTGGTACTCACCCACATCACTGGGATTGAGAGAGAGAGAGAGAGAGAGAGAGAGAGAGAGAGAGAGAGAGAGAGAGAGAGAGAGAGAGAGAGAGAGAGAGAGAGAGAGAGAGAGAGAGAGAGAGAGAGAGAGAGAGCACTAAACACACTCCCTGTTGCCAGCGCAGGTTTTGAACGTGGAACCTCAGGATTCGCAGGCAAGCCTACACACCAATCGGCCATATGCGCAGGTCTACACTTTTCGATGGATTTTGAACATGAAATCAGCTCTTCTGCCTCCACCAAGTCACATGGTTTCAGATCCTCAGAGGTGTGTATGTGTGTATGTGTGTGTGTGTGTGTGTGGTATGTGTGTGTGTGTGGTATGTGTGTGTGTGTGTGTGTGTGTGTGTGTGTGTGTGTGTGTGTGTGTGTGTGTGTGTGTGTGTGTGTGTGCGTGTGGTGTGCCTCTCTTGCGACGTGCGTATACATGGTACATGGTGTGGTGTGTGTTGTGCCTCTCTTGCGACGGGCGTATACAGTGGTCCCTCTATAATCCGGCACCATTTGTGCCACGAAAATCTGCTGGATTAGGGAGGGTGCTGGATTAACAAATCTGATTTACTGCTGCAATGTACATGAAGAGGACATTTTGGCTACTGAAAATTGTGCTGGTTTATCGAGGGTGCTGGATTATAAAGTGCCGGATTAGAGAGGGACGACTGTACATGGTACAATCATGGTGTGGTGTGTGTGTGGGGGGGGGGGGCATGCATGTGCGCGCGTACGTGCGTGTGTGTGAGGGGGGGGGGGGGGGGGGCATGCATGTGCACGCGTCCGTGCGTGTTATGTGTGTGTGTGTGTGGGGGGGGGGGGGGGGGGTGCATGCATGCATGTGTGTGAGTGTGATACATGGTATGGTATGTGTGAACTGATCTTTCACAAGCTGAAAGATGCATTAGAGAGCAGTCTCAGGACCTGGTTACTATTGTGACTTGCGTTCCAAAAAAGGCCAGGACCCCAGAGAATAATATTACTACTCAACAACTCAAGTTTTTTTCTGTCTATTGAATGACGTGATGACATACAATACAAGGGCTAGTCTGCTACGTCCTAAATCTACTACACGTACTGACACGTAAACAAGCACTGCCAATAGCAGGAGTCATTCGCTGCTATGAAATAATCACGAGTACTAGTATGACGTGTATGGTTTCATTGTAGCTACGTCCAGTCATATTGCACAAGCACGAATAAAATAGTGTACAGTATTCTCAAACAAACATGGCAGACCTCCGAGATACCGTCATGCTACAACCAGTGTAGTTACACAAGTTGAGAATAAGAAAATGAGAACGCACAGACTAAAGGGCGCTCGAGATGGATCGGCACTGGCATGGGACGATATTTCCAACAGCGAGACTGAACTGGCCTGGGACCTTCGAGAAATAATTTTGGACAGATTTTTACTGCTACTTTTTTTATCAGTAACGCCAAGTTCGCTTTCGTGCAGCACATTTTCGTACGATCAACCACGCGAGGAGAAAACTTCCATGGATTCATTGACATAAGCATTTATACAAAAACGATTGAATTACTTCAAGTGTAAGGACAAGGCTTTGTAATACTAAATTTCGCAACCAAGAGTTTTATTCATTCGTGAGACAGAGTTCAACTATAAAATACTTACTTGTAAGTGAGTCCTTCGTGCTTCGCCACGAATTCTCCGCAAGAGAGCCCATCCACAGGGATGAAATTAGGATCGTCTGTACCACTGGCCATCGTGCTGGGTAGTAGAAGCCTCCAAAACACACGCCTTACAAGAGACAGCCACTGGACAACAGAGCAAACAACTCGTTGCAGTTACTTTCAAAGAGAAAGATCGAAGCTCTTGACCATGATGCACGTAAAAATGCTGCCTCGATATCAGCAGTGGCACCACGGCCGGACACGCACACACACGCGCGCGCGTGGCGCTGGCCTGGCTCCTATAGGCCTAGCCTCTGTTTTTTTGTTTTGCACGTGCACTTGGTTTGTACATGATGTGTGTGCGTGCTGATCGGGGAGTCGTAAGTTTACCACGCCTTGGCAGGCGACTGTGATGTGCCATGTGATACGCTGGATATTCCGCGCGATCCTCATGCATCATACGCCTCTATATCTACATGATCTACGCGCTCGCTCTGTCCCTCCAGGAAATCGCGATTCCACGGATGCAACAAATTTCGCGATTTTGGCCCAAACCCGCGATTTTCAGGAAAATCCGCGATTTCCCGTGTTTTTTGTTGTTTTCTGCACTATATCTCACATTTTTATGCACTTTTCACGCAGTGCTTTCCATGATCCAGTAGGTTATTTGCACAGTCAGCAGCAGTAGATCTACTCGTACTACCGAGTAGATATGCGATGCAACAAATTTCGTGATTTGGCCCAAATCCGCAATTTTCTGCAAATAATTCCGCGGATTCCTGGCAAGTTCTGCATCATTCCGCACTTTTCTTCGCATTTTTTGTTGTTTTCTGCCGCAATTTCTTGCGCAAGTTTTCGAGAGTTTTTTCCGCAAATTCCCGCAGGGACAGTATGGTATATCGCTCACGTGTACTCTTGTACCATAGTACCTGCCCTGGGCATGGGGCCAGGGCATGGGACCGGGGTTATGAACTCTTGCAGCATGGTGGTACAGTCAGAAGCATGCTAGCCAGGGAGTCGTCAAATACCGGTATGTTCGACGACTCCCTGACTCCCTGAGTAAGAGGGACGGTGAGGCTGAATCTGCCCGATGCTAATATTAATATGGTTTTGTATTCACTTTGTCAAAGCCGACACCTACAGTTGTACAAACCAATGCCTTTCGATCATTCTGTTCTGGATCGATCCATGGAAGGGAGTGCCTGTAGCCTCACCAGCACTGCTACTATCTGTGAGTGTGGCGACCACCATTCATTGTCTTGTCCTGTCTCTCACCCTATCTCTCTCTGTCTCTCTCTCTGTGTCTCTCTCTGTGTCTCTCTCTCTCTCTCTCTTGTCTCTCTCTCTGTCTCTCTCTCTCTGTCTCTCTCTCTGTCTCTCTCTCTCTCTGTCTCTCTCCGTCTCTCTCTCTCTGTCCTCGTTCTCTCTCTCTCTCTCTCTTCCTCTCTCTCTCTCTCTCTCTCTCTCCTCTCTCTCTCTCTCTCT